CGGGGGGGGGGGGTGTTATCAAATGACACTTTCCCGGGGGTCACATATCAGATATTTACATTATGATTCACAACAGTAGCAAACTTGCACTTATGAAGTAGCGATGAAAATAACTGTATGGTTGGGGGTCACCACAGCATGAGGAGCTGTGTTAAAGGTCGAACCAAGCTTTAGGAAGGTTGAGAACCACTGACTTGGCCTAGAACTCCACTCTCACCCTGGTTCATTCTCAGGTCTCTCCTGAAGTCCTGCAAAGTCCAGCACTGCTGGCCCCAATGCAGTCATCTTTGGGAATGTGGAGAGAGGTCACTATGAAGAGATTCCATTCCGCGGCTGTTACAGATTTTGTCTGGAGGAAAAACACCATGCTTTGTGCCAGTCTTGATATAGAGGCAAAACGGCAGGATCTCGGTCAGGGCTCCAAGGAGAAGGCTGTGCATCTGGACACAGGCTCTGGGCCCTGTCCAAGTGGGGAGCATCTCTTGAGAGCTGAGTTTCAAGGAAGGGGAGGAGGGTGGGCCTGACATGAGTGGGGAGCTGTGCCCTCCCTGCCTGCCACTGTCCAGTGGAGACAGTACAGAGTGTCAGTTTAATCACAACCCCCTTTTATTCATTTCAAGTATTTACAAGCTAAATGCAGAGAACTGTGTCCTGCTTCATGGGACCCTCGTGTTGGAGACAGAAACGATCGTTGGCTGGAGACAAACTTGCAGATCCTAGTCCTAGGATAACTTCTTTTCCTTCTGTTGTTAATTTTTCACATTTCAGCAGCAGATTACTCTTTACAGAAAACTGTGGTCTACATTTTAAATTATCTTAAGAGAATAAGAGAAATAGGGTACGGGGGGCACATGCCTGTGATCCAGCACTTGGGAGGCAGAGACAGGAGGATTGCTACAAATTCAAGGTCAGCTAGGGGCATGCATCAAGATCCTATCCTTAAAATCAAACCAACACCACCGTCAACAAAGCCAGAGGAGAGCAGCAAACAAGCGTCCGGTGCCGTGTGCAGTTTACCTCAAGTCTCAAAGGGCTGGGGAAGCGGTGGTCGAAGGCTGTCTGATGGGAACCTCCGACACAGTTTTTCCACCCCACCTCTTGGGGAATGCTTCAAAGAGATGGATGGAAGGGACCTTTGCAGTTCCTGCATTCTGTTTATTGGTCCCAGTCACCCCACGTTATGTGACAGGAACAACCAGAACTCAGCTGGAGCTTCACTGAGCAGCTTCTCAGAGCAGATCCGGCAGGAGGAGGCCGGGAGGCTTGGGCTCAACACAGTTGATCCAGAAGTTGGCACAGCTGGCGTGGTACTGGTGTCCTCCATAGGCCAGCTTGAAACTGTCTGTTTCCGAGTTGAATGCCTGCCAGAAATAGATATGGGTCAAGTCAGGTTCTCCCTGCATGGAAGAGCTTGCCAGCAGCCACCACAGGCCATCCCCAGGTGTCCCAGAGGCTGAGGCCCGAAGGGCACACACAGACAAAAGCTGAGCAGGCGGCTATAGGGTTCAAGTAGGAAAGTCTTATTTATTTTTTTTTACTGCCAATTAAAGGTATAAAATCAGTACCATTCAACCTAGTTTCAGCAAAGGGCCCAATCTTCACAGAAAAGGCAGACAGAGGTTACAGGAGAGAGGAATGAGCAGGACACAGGAACTAAAATAGCCAAGGGCTGTGGGTAATTGGGTCCCTCACTGTAAGGGCCACCCTCCCTGGAGGCTGCCATTACTGTAACATGTGAACCCTTAGAGTTCCATGGCTGACTATAGTCCTATCAGGACTGAAAACATTGAAAAGAGCTAGAAATCAACGGACAGTAACTCTTATGGTCTAACGCCATGGTTCTCACCCTGTGGGCCATGACCCACTCTAGTGTCACATATCGAATATTTACGTTATGATTCATAACATTACCAAAATTAGAGTTATGAAGTAGCAACAAAATAATTTTATGGTTGGGGATCACCACAACATGAGTAGCTGTATTAAAAGGTCACGGCATTAGGAAGGTTGAGAACACTGAGTTCTAATGCCACTGGGAGCTGACACCTGAGTGGACATACAACAGCCCCCTCCTCTGCAGCTCCGGTTACCCACAGCAGGTGACATTCTGCAGCTGGTTGTCTTAAACACCACAGACAAAATCCTAAAACCCGAATGATCTGTTTTTGTCTGCCATCCTCTAAATCCGGTGTCACTACACCTTCTCATCTTCCAGAAGGTGCTGGTGTGTGGCAGAGAAGGATAATGACAGCACCGGAAGCTGATTGGCAGCGACAGGCATGCAAACAGGACAGCGGCAGCTCCACACAGACACGTTAGTTGATTTGATCAAACGTTATGGGGACAAAAATGAGTCAGTGGAGGATTCACGATTGGCACAGTCCAGGACGGCCACAGAATTGTCTGTTGACCTCTCAACACACAAGACTGAGATGGAGACGCTAAGGTAACCTGTAACTGGCCCATACTTTTTTAGGCTGTTCTTCTGCGGGCTTCTCTTCTTTCTGAAATAATGTTGAAACCATAAGGTCAAAAAAAAAAAAAAAAAAAAGTCCCTGAAACAGGCCTCTTGCCTCCCGGTAAAGCCACGTGGCTTGCCATTTTCTCCCCATCCCCTGTTCATGGAGTGCTGAGGAGACCCTGTGAACTGCATGCCCAAGAGGGAGGGAAGGACTCTGTCCACTCCCTCAGCACCTTCTCCACTGTCCTGTAGAAAAAACACATCTGCTTCTACGGGACTTTCTAGACTTCAAAATCCCTACCTCTGGCCACAGAGCTTGTTGTAAAGTGGGCTCATATGGCTGTTCCCCAGGTCACGTCAGGGAGGAACCTTACCCTTGAAGGGGGAAGGTGAGGACTTACCCGGCTCCTGGAGTCCACATTTAAGAGACACACCCCACAAGCCAGCTCCTGAGCGTTTTTAATCCCAGGCCGTAACATACAGGAGGAAAAATCCAGGGAGTTTTCATCTGGCTGAGGATGAACAGGTAAAGATGGGTAAGGACATAGTAATTTCAAACGCTGTGTAGGTCAACTGTAAAATTAAGTCAGCTAATAACACAAGTGCTTAGTTTCCTGAATCTGCCAAGTAGCTGCTATGTTCTCGGTGCTAGCGATGCCAGTGGGAAGAAAAACCACCTCCTAGCCTCGGGGACCTCGTCGTCTAGGGTGGAGCCGGGGGTATCAAGTAATGCAAGGTCATTAGTGCTACAGTACTTACTTTGGGATAAGCACTGAGTGTCCAGACACTCAGCAGGGGCACTTAGCCAGGAGAATGCTTCCTGGAGCTCAGATCATCCTGCCTGGGTATTGATGAGACTATTGAAGGTGATGGGTCATGGGGTGATGGGGTGATGGGTCGGGAGTGGCAGGAAGAGAGGAAGGATATCTCACAGACAAGCAGCACAAAGCAAAGACATCTAAGCAAATTCCAGCTAAGAGAAGAAATCGAGGGTGGGAGCCAAGCCAAGGAGAGGGGGAGGAGATGAGGCTAGAACACCAAAGAACCAGAAAGGAACGGAAGGAGTGAGGCAGGAGGGGAAGGGCTGAGAAGGGGGGAGGAGCTACAGGCACGAGCATGTGCAGGATGTAAAGGAGGGAGGCTTGGGCAGCTGAGAAGATTCACTTTAAGCTCTCAAGGACAGAAGAGGGCATAGCTTGGTTCAGGCTGAGTGGCAGCTGCCAAGGCCAGAAGTGCAGGTGTGTGTGTGGGGTTGTATAGCCCAGCTAATGCTAAGAGTGAGACCTGAAAGTCAGCAGCAAGAGGCAGGCTTATGCTGGTGCTAAGTGATATGCTTATATTATATGTTATAATATGAAAATATTATATTATTATATGAAAATATATGTCAACAAATCTTGTTCCAAAAAAAGCATTCATAGCAACTGTATCCATATTAGCCAAGTCTGGCACCAACAATGTGTCTAGTAATAAGAAGATGGATAAATAAGTTGTGATGTATTAATACAACAGACGACTTACTACTCAGCCAGGGAGCAAGGTGACATTTGATCACTATGACTGCATTTCAATATTATGCTACTAAGCAAACCAGACACAAGAATGCTAACAGCTGATATCACTTCATGTTTATAAAGTATTAAAACAGAGGAATCTCTGGCTAGGGATATCAGGTTGATTCCTTTTGGAATCAGATCAAGGATTGACTCTGAAAGAGCTTCAGTGAACTTTAGGCAGGGACGAAAATATTCTGAATATTTTCCAGGCCTTAAAGTCCTTGTGGCACAGGACCTTAATCACAGTATTCGGAGGGGCAGAGGCAGGCAGGTCTCAGAGACTTGGAGGCCAGCCTGGCTTATATAGTAAGTTCCAGGCAAGCCAGGCCTACATAGTGAGAACCTGTCTTAAAGAACCAAAACCAGGAGGTGAAGAGCTGGCTCAGTGGTTAAGAGCCCTGACTGCTCTTCCAGTAGACCTGGGTTCAATTCCCAGCACCCACATGGCAGCTCACAACTCTCTGTAGCGCTAGTTCCAGAGGATCTGACACCCTTACACAGACATACATTCAGGCAAAACACACATGCACATAAAATAAACTAAAAAACCAAACCAAACAACAAACAAAACTCCTTATAAGCCAAAAACAGCAGCAGATATGTTCACCTCACTGTCAATTTCAAACTGTCAAACGATTTTCACAGAACATATTTTTTTCATTTTTGCCCATCCTTTGGATTCATAGTCAACTTTTGTTTTCACAAGTAAGTACAATACTGGCATGAATGTGATGATTTAAATTTTTAATAATTTCTATGTGCATGGGTGTTTTGTCTGCCTGTATTTCTGTGCACCACATGCAGGCAGAGTCCATGGACACCAGAAGAGGGTGTCAGATCCCCTGGAAGTGGAGTTACAGATGGTTGTGAGCGGCCATGTGGGTGCTGGGAATCGAACCCTGGTCCTCTGCAAGAGCAGTCCGTGCTCTTAAACACTGTGCCATCCCCCAGGTCCTGACCAGACTCATCACTAAACTGAAACAACAAGAATATTCTGAAAACTTCACTGGTCGAAGACTTGAGTGACTGCGGGCCACAGGCTCATTTCCTTGGCTTTGGTGCTGCTCCCAGGCCTCAGCTTGACACATCTGAGGTCGGCACCCTCAGCATCTTCTCAGGCCCTTGTAAACTGCCAGTAAAACAACAAGCCAAGCTCCGGGGAACATTTGCTGAATTCCATATTATAAACACCCCATCCTGGCTGACTCTCAAGCTTGCTGAGTGACAGCACTGAACATAGAGCTGGGAGGAGCTGCCCAGCAGCAGCAGCAGCAGCAGAACTATCTGGTGATTATACCATCCAGAACCACTACTCTAGGCTGACCAAGACTAGGTTGACCAACCACCCTCTTGGCTGCATTTATCCAAGATTGTTCTGGCTTTAGCACCAAATAACTCCTTCAGTTCTGAGGATCAAGGACAGTTTAACATCTTGTTACCACATCAGGGACTAATGGAGAAATAACAAGAAAATGAGAAAACTATGAGGCCTGAATTAATAAAAGCCCGTCAATATCTGTGTATGGGGCACACAGGAAAGCAAATGAAAAGGGCACAATGTAATCTGCCAGAACCGTAGGCTTTGCATAAACTAACCTGTGATTAAGTTAATCTTCCAAATGATAGAATTAGCTCTCCTAGGCAGGCAATGGTTTGGTACACACCTTTAATCCCAGCACTCAGGAGGTAGAGGCAGGTGGATCGCTGAGTTCAAGGCTAGCCTGGTCGACAGAGCAAGTTCCAGAACAGCTAGGGATTCACAGAGAAACGCTGTCTTTTTTGTTGTTGTTTTTTGAGACAGGGTTTCTCTGTGTAGCTTTGGAGCCTGTCCTGGATCTTGCTCTGTAGACCAGGCTGGCCTCCAACTCACAGAGATCCGCCTGGCTCTGCCTCCCGAGTGCTGGGATTAAAGGCATGAGCCACTGCTGCCCTGCCCACCTCTGAAGTTCTAATTGTCATATAAGGTAAACTAGGTTCTAGGGTCACCTGGCATGTTTGAGAGTGCCATTTGTCAGCTGAGGACACAGTAAAGACGCTGTCTCTCAGGTATGGTGCTTACAGGATGGGCAGGGGTGGGGAGAGGCAGGCTGTCAGCGAAGCACACTGTTCTCTTGATATTCTGCAGCATTAAGGAAGTAAGCACTCTGAAAGTCACCACGCTGGGAGGAATTACCAAGGGACAATGGACTCAAATGGCATGCGTGTATGGCTTCTAGTTGGCCACAAAGCTGGAGAAAAAGTCCTTTTTCCTTTATTAGGTTTTATATGCCAAAATTTTGTTCCCGGGGCTGAACTGTTCCTTTGATCCAACAGATCCACAAGATAAAAGTTTGGCTGACCTTCACTCAGGGCCATCAGAGCATCCACAAGTCACTGAAGTAGACAGCTTTTCCTGCTAGAGAAACACCTGCTTCTACCACAAGAGGGAGTTTCAGTCCACAGTCACCCAGAGCATTAAAGGTTTTGCTACGTAACATCCAGCTTAAAAAAAAAAATTACTTATTTATTAATTTTATGTGTATTGGTATTTTGCCTGCATGTGTGCCTGTGGGAGGGTGTTAGACCCTCTGGAACTGGAGTTACACAGCTGTGAGCTGCCATGTGGGTGCTGGGATCTGAACCTGGGTCCTCTCTGAAAGAGCAGCCAGAGCTCTTAACCACTGAGCCATCTCTCCAGCCCTGTAATATTCAGCTTAATAAAATATTAAGTCCCATTTTAGAGTAGAGACTGTGCTTTGCCCAGGCACGCCCACTGTGATGTACACTACACACGGGGCATCTTTAGGTGGAAAGACAGAGCTGGCGGTTTATTGTTTGTTTGTGGAGAGCTGGGGAACATATCTAACCAAGGCTGCAAGCACACTAAGCACTCTCTCAAAAACAGAACAAGACACAAGAGCAAACACACTGTCTACCACTGAGTGACCCCTGGCTCCAGTGCGGCCGGGTCTACTGAAAGTTAGAAATTACAAGACTCTAAAATGATGATATAGATTCAAAACCTAGATTTTTATAGTTTCAGTTAAATTTTGATGTGTCTCAGCCCTGATTTCTTCCCCCTATTATGGGCCAGTGAGAAGGCTCCTCAGGTACAAGTGTTCATCTTATGTAATGACTACTTGCATTTAACCCCTGGGACCCACCAAAGGCTCAATGTAGTGGAGAACGCCTTATTCCCAGCACTCCTGTAGTGAGGTGAGAGGCAGAGTCAGGAGACACTACTAGAAGCTTGCTGGCCAGCTGGCCTGGAGTGCAGTAGTAGAATAAGAGACCCTGCCTCAGCAAGGGAGAGGATGAAAACCGACTCCTAAAACCGTCCCTGACTTCCATGTGCACACCATGGCATGCATGTCCCCCCCACATCCATCCATCCATCCATCCATCCATCCACACATACATACATACATACATACATACATACGTATATACAGATATTTTTAAAAGAAATGGAGATGATACTGACCTCATATGGTTATTACCAGGACTAAGTGAGAATGAATGTGAAGAATGTGGAATAATGTGAAGCAGGTCTGTCTTAGTTAATGTTCTATTGCTGTGAAGAGACACCAGGACCATGACAACTCTTATAAAGGAAACATTTAATGGGGCTGGCTTACAGGTTCAGAGGTTTAGTCCATTGTCACAGTGGGAAATATGGCAGCACACAGGCAGACTTGGTGCTGGAGAGGGAGCTCAGGGTTCTGTATTAGGACCAGCAGACAACAGCAAGAGAGAGACACAGCCTGGCTTGAGCATTTAAAATCTCAAAACCCAACCCTCAGTGACACATTTTCTCCAACAAGGCCACACCAGTCCAAGGCCACTCCTCCTAATAGTGCCACTCCCTATGGGCCTATGGGGCCATTTCCATTCAGACCACCATAGTGTCCTAGCTGCAAACATGAATGGTGGCCATCAGTATTGGTAGTCATATTAACAACAATGAGCCTCTGAATGGTGATGTGGTCCCTTAAGGAGCTCATTTACTCCAAATCAAAGAGAGGTGCTAAGAGTTTAAGGCTTCAGTACCACCTCACGCCTGCCTCTCTCTGGCTCTGAGCATCTCATCCAGGGTCGCCTGGTGTTCAGAGTTGTTACAGCTGGACTCAAGTATTCAGATGTTAGGTTTTATGCTATTGACATTATATGACTATTGACATTATATGACTTTGTCAGTTCTGTTACAGGAAAGACTCATTCATGACAACTCCCATCTTACATTTCTGTGAGATATATGCTATTCCTCATGCAATGGGTAATTCAAGTTAAGGTTTATAGACTGAGTTTATAAACTCTCAAGAGGAAATGGTATGGTGTAACCTAGAAAAGTATCTGAACAGAGGACCATCATTGCTCTGTCACAGCTACCCTGGCAAAGAAAAACAATTATAACTGAAGAACATGGCTAATTTGTAAGTGAAGACGCAGTATTCATCATGTACACTCTGCATGTATCCTAGCATGTCGGAGGTGAGATAAGAATCTCTGTGCCGCTTAGATGCAAGATTGTAAAACATCAGTAGTGAACTTCTGCCCTCCAGGGTTCTCCCATTGTGCTGTAAGCCTGTATTAAAGACCTTCTCCCTCCTTCAATAAACGGCATTTGGCCTTTAAAAAAAAAAAAAAAAAAAAAAAGAATCTCTGTGCCATTGTGTGTGCCTGAAAAGCCAGGCCAGTTACCCTCGTAAGTCTAGATATGGCTACTGGGAGAAGGCATGAATGTGAAGCCTCTTCTCCATTTACCTAACATCTTGGCCCTGCTCAGTAAGTTAGAGCAGAACATTCTAGGTAAATAGGTAACAAACTTCCTTCAAAGTTACAAAACCAAATCCCATGGCTTCTTTGAAAAGGTCTGGACAAAAGCGATGCTTGGTGTGAAAACCTGCAGCGAGGCAGGGACTGGGAAGGTGCATAAGGAAGCTGTCTGGGAGGGTGAAATAGTCCACAGTTTACAGGGCACATGTGATACAGATGGGGAAAGTCACAAAACTCACTAAGGTTTTGGCATTTTGTTGTGTGTGAACTCAAAAGCGGCCTGGAGTGACAGACAGAGCCTAGAAGGCAAGTCCTTTTCATGAACAGTGGCAGAGCCCAGGAGCCTGGGAGCTGGGGCAGATGTACCCGGAGGAAAATGGCTTCTGCTGCCCCCAGTGTCAGCTGCTACTTCACACAGTGACCACAGGTCAGCATCCGGGCCAGGCACATCCTGGCTGTGCTTCACCCTAGCTGGACAAATACCTGACGAGCTTGGCCGATGTACCTGGGCTTCAGTGGCGTTTTCTAAGAGCTCAGGGCAAGGAAAGATGCTTTCTAACCCTAGTCCACTTTCTCCAGCAGCACCAGAAGAGGAGGGCTGGACGCCGACTGGAGGAAGGCTGGAGATCTAGTTTGCAAAGCGTTCAGCACAGTGAGAGCTGACTGCCACCAAAACAAGGGACCTTCGGATCTAAACACAAAGTGGGAGGCCTGTAATTGCTCTACCGTCCTGGGCATAAACCGAGGGGGAAGTCAGAGAAAGTGACTTGACTTCAGGTTGACAGTCCGCCAGGACAAGCTCCTGCTGCTCTTCTCATTAACCTTAGGCTCTGCCAATCTACTCCCTAGCAACGGCCTTTGTACACCTTCGGTTTCCCCTAACTCACTTTCTCAGGGTAGGATGGAGCACAGAGCATGCCGGAGGATGCCTCTGGTCCTTGCCTGCTTCAGGACAGGACGGCGGCAGAGTGAAGCTGTCCAGTCGCTGTGTAGATTTAATGCAGCTAAAGACCCTACCATACAGTTCAGCCACCGGATAACCCATCAGAACGACTGAGGCGTGGCCACGACACCAACAAGGTTTTTGGGAAAGGGTTCAAGTGTGTGAAGGCAATGAGAATTCTCTACCAGAGGGAAAATGTATTTCCCATTACAAATGCAATAAATATTCATTAAAGATAGTTGAGGAGGGCGGTGGTGGCGCACGCCTTTAATCCCAGCACTGGGGAGGCAGAGCCAGGTGGATTTCTGTGAGTTTGAGGCCAGCCTGGTCTACAGAGCGAGATCCAGGACAAGCACCAAAACTACACAGAGAAACCCTGTCTCAACTCCCCTCCTCCCCCCAAAAAAATATAGTCAAGAAAGGCAGAGAATACTTATAGACACAGGATTTTATCACTACGCACAACCCAATCACCATGTTGGCAGCCTCCTCCCAGCCGTGTGGAGATGGTCCTGTTATCTGGAGAGTGCTCCCTGACAAAATGCCCACACCACCTCGAAAGAAGGCCACCACAGGTTACTTCACTCACTCTCTAGATTAGGGCTTTCAGGTGGTTTCCCATTTTTCTTTTTAAGGAACAATGCTCTGCACTTGCTGGCTTCCTTCTGTGGCTGTACATTTAGAACAACGGGAAAAGTTGGCTTAGAGGCAGCATTAGCAGAACAGTGGTTCTGGACGTGTGAGCCCTCTGATGCACTCGCTTTTACAGGGCTACATCTGAAGTGCTGGGCTTACAGGGAGCCCGGAAGGTGAACAGAAGCAATCCTTTCTGGTATTCTTGCTAGCAAACTCCTCCTGACTATCAAGTTTATTATGCTCTGAACACAGTGAACCATGGAACTCAGCTGGAACACAAGAGAGAGAAAAGGGGAGGACCAGTCTCCACAGATGACCATTTCATTCCCTGTCTACAGACACAATGAGATCAGCTGTCTGGAGCTCCCACAATAGCTAGAGGAGCTCACACCACCACGCCTTCTCTGCCAGGATGGCCGGCTCTGGGAACTGGCTGCCAAAGAAACCCTTCTTCAAGTTGTTTCAATGAGGTATTTTGTTATAACAAGGAAAGTAACTAGTGAGGTAAGCACTATGGGACGTGAGGGAGAAATGGGCTAAAGACACTCACATGGGAAGGGACTCTGATTCACACCAATCAAGTGCGCTGGGAAGCCTTCTGGGGAAAACGATGCAGAACTCAGAAAGCAGCCTAGTTCAGTAACAGGAAAGCTCTACACTGAGCTAAAAAGTTTGGCTGAGGTCCTGAAGACCATGGAGACCCTCTCCAGGAATACACACACACACACACACACACACACACACACACACACACACACACTTGTTTTTTGTTTGTTTGTTTTTCGAGACAGGGTTTCACTGTGTAGTCCTGGCTGTTCTGGAACTCACTCTGTAGACCAGGCTGGCCTCGAACTCACAGAGATCCTCCTGCCTCTGCCTCCTGAGTGCTGTCTAAAGGCGTGCGCTACCATACCCAGCCCACTGAAGGATTTTAAATGGGATTTAAATGATACAGCCAGCTTTACAGTTTACAGAGAACAGCTTGGTGTAGTGGCACAAAGAACAGATTGATAAGGGCTTTTGAAAGAAAGAGAAGGAAAGAACCAGGTAGGGTGTATGGCTCAATAGCAGGTAACTTGTCTGGACTTCATGAGTCTTGAGGTCCAGCCCTAGCACCACCAAAGAAAAAACAAAAACCAAACCAAACAAATGAGCATGCGGCTCTCAGAAGCCATCCCTCCAGCCCCTTAAACTTTAAGAACTTAATAAAGGGGCTAGAGAGATGGCCCTGAGGTTAAGAACACTGGCTGTTCTTCCAGAGGTCCTGAGTTCAATTCCCAGCAACCTCATGATGGCTCACAGCCATCTATAATGAAATCTGGTGCCCTCTCCTGGTCTGCAGGCATACATGGAGACAAAATGTTGTATACATAATAAATAAATAAATCTCTTAAAAAAAAAAAAAGAACTTAATAAAGTAGAACCAGAAGCAACGGAACAACAGTGAGACCTGCTGTTTAGGACGCAATGGGACAGCTGGCTGTCACCGGCGGCTGGCGGCTGAGAGCATTAAGAAGTCCTCCCTTCTGCAGAGCTGCAGCCCTGGTCAGAGGGTCACAGGTTAACCGGAGGAGAGCAGCATGTATCCAGTCCCGACTGCTGTGAATACAGGACTCCATCAGGGACTGACGGACTGGGTTTGAACAGTTAAACATAAAGGTCCTGCCCAGTGAAGTGTGAGAAGAGAGAATAATCACACAGGAAACAAACTGGTACACTTACTAGGATACATATTATGACTAGAAACATGTCAACAGCTGTATTCCACCGAGAGAATACTGAAATGGTCCAAAGAAGCGATTAGCTTATAGAAGGTGGAAACAGGACCAGTAAGTTATCATTTTAGAGTACAGCAAGGCCTTAAATACTACCTGGGAAGTGTTGCAGCAGCCATGCAGGTTGCATGCATGTGTGCTTTCTGGCCTTCCTTCTTCATACACTCTGAGAGATTGTAAAACCCAGAGGGGAGCTAGTCATCTGCTTATTCACAGTAGAGCTATTCATAACATGGAAAAAATGAATCAAATAAAAGTAATAACAGTGGTGAATGGACTGTAGGGCAGCAACATGGTAGACAGCAGGTCTACCACACAACCTGCTTTGTTTGTTTGTTTGTTTGTTTGTTTGGAGACAGCGTTTCTCTGTGTAGCTTTGGAGCCTGTCCTGAACTCTAAACTAGGATGTCCTCGAACTCACAGAGACCCGTCTGCTTTCCAAGTGCTGGGACCAAAGGTGTGCACTACCACAATCTGCACCACACAGCTTTCTAAAGGACACTAGGGAGCATAAATAAGTCAAGTGCAAAGGGATGAACTCAAATCATTACTTTTTGGTAAAACTTGCACTGTAAGAATTAACAGTGGTTGGTGCTGGGAGACAGTTCAGTGGGCAAAGCGTTTGCTGTGCAAGCGTGGGGACATGAAGTCAACTTCCCAGAACCTCTATAAAGCAGGGGTGGGAAAGAAGCCATGTGTCTATACTCCTAGTGCTATGAAGGCAGAGAGACCCTCCAGAAGCTTGTGGCCCATCCAATCTAGTGGGCAGAGGCTGACAACAGAGACCCTGTCTCACACAAGACAGAAAGTGAGAACAGACATCCATGGTTGTCCTCTGACCTTCACACACACATTATGGCATGTGCACACCCAGACACATACCCACACTCTCTCTCCCATATACATATGTACTGTGTGTGTGTATGTGTGTGTGTCTCTCTCTCTCACACCACACTCTCTCACACACACATATATACTCTGTGTGTGTGTGTGTGTGTGTCTCACACACACACAAACACAAATACACAAATTAAGAACTACAGATAAAGACTTTTTGGTATACTTCTATTTTGCCAAGTTCCAGTGGGCCCTGGAACCCCTAGGCCAGTCTGAGACTGCTATCTCAGACCTCCATCAGCACAAGGCAGTCCAGCTGGCATGCTCATTCTCTAACAAGTGCATCGTAAGAATATATTCTCTGCTTCCAAACAGGTTTCTGGAAAGAGAAGCAGCAGGCTTACTGTGAGCGTGGCAAGTGACATGAAGCCAATCAGGTTGTTCCACACTTTATCGATGTCCTTCAGCAACTGCTGGAGTTTCTCACTGCACACAGCAGTGGCTTTTATCCCCAGCTCCACACGCCTGGTGACTCGGTACACTTCCACGACGCCTGGTAGGAGAGGAGAGAGTGAGGCGTGGGAGAAGCAGGCAGGACAAAGCAGTGCTTGCTGATGACTGATTAGGAGGGGCACAGAGACAGGGCTGTGAGTGCAGACATGTGCTGGTTACCTTCCTGTTGCCTCGATAAAACACCACGACCAAGGCAACTTAGGGAAAAGGGCTTCATTGGGCTTATGGATCTACACTCCATAACTGCAGTGTGAAGGCATGGCGGTGGGAACAGCCGAGAGCTCATCTCTCATACTGCAAGCTGGAGGCAGAGAAGCCCAATGGGAACGGCAGGAGGCTTCTGAAGCCCCAAAGCACCCCCCTCCCCACCACCACCTCTTACATTAAGGCCACACCCCCTAATCCTTTCCAAACAGTTCCACAAACTGGGGACCAAGTATTCAAACCTATGAGTCTATGGGGGTCATTCTCATTCACACCACCACAAGGTGCGAGCCTCCCCGATCAGACAGTTCTGCTCCTGTGGTCTTCAATCAGGCCAAACCCTCCCAACAAGAAGGGGTGCTGAGCACCTCCTCGTCTAAGATGGTCACAAGACACATCACCAGGCCTTCACTGTGGCCATCACCAGACCACTGTGCTACCCAATGCTGCTGGAGTCTTTTAAGTAGAAACACAGATTCCAGAGCTATACACTATGAGCTCAGATCCCTGCTCCATCTCTTACCAGCCATGTATGCTGGGGCAAGTTATGAAGCTCCCTGTGCCTCGAGTTAAGACAGTAGCAGCAGCTCTTCAAAGGACCAGGGAGAGGATGGCACATGTGAGCGCTGCACAAGGCTCATAACAGGGGTTTTTGAGCAGCAGACACTGTGCGAGCTACTGGGCTGTTTAGCTCAGATTTCTTTATGAGGTTCTGGCTGAGTCAGGGAAATCCCATTAACCGGCTGAAAATGGACATAGAGCTTTAAAGAATCTAAATGCTAATGTCATGGCAGAGTAATCCATGATGAATCCTTTTAAAAAAACACATTGTTAGGCTTCTATGTGCCATAAATTTCAATTTTTAAAATTACGTTTATTGCCAGGTCTGGTGGTGCACACCTTTAATCCCAGCTCTTGGGAGGAGGCAGAGACACATCTCAGTTTGAGGCCAGCCTGGTCTACATAGCAAGTTCCAGGACAGCCCAGGCTACCCAGAGAAAGCCTGTCTTGAAAAATCAAATAAAACAAAATTACATGTATGTATTTGTACATGGGGGAGTGGCATAAGCGCCACTCCAGAGGTCAGAGGGCAAGCTGCACGCATTGGTCCTCTCCTTCCACCATGTTGATCTTGGTGACTAAACAGATCATCAGGCTTGGAGGCAAGTGCCTTTACCCACTGAGCCATCTCTGGCATTGATTTTGGGTTTTAGCTTTGTTTGTTTGCAGCCCAAGATGGTCTGGAATTCACTATGTAACCTACTGGCCTTCAACTAGTAGCCATCCTCCTGCCTTAGCATCCTTAGTGAGCCTGGCCAGGACTGTTCTTTTCCTGTGGTCTCTGATGAGGTTGAATTCTTTTTCTCTGCATAGGCCCTGGCTGTCATGGAACTCACTCTGTAGACCAGGCTGGCCTTAAACTCACAGAGATCCACCTGCCTCTGCCTCCCAAGTGCTGGGGATTAAAGGTGTGTGCCACCATGCCTGGCAGAGGCTGAATTCTTTTTTTGTTGTTTTTTTGTTTTATTTATGTGCATTGGTGTTTTGTTTGCATGAAGGTGTCTGGTACCCTGGAACTGGAGTTACAGATGTCAGTGAGCTGCCATTTGGGTGCTGGGAATTGAACCCAGGTCCTCTGGAAGGACAGCTAGTGCTCTTAATTGCTGAGCCATCTCTCTAGCCCCCAGAGGCTGAAATCTTAAGCAAGGAGGAGAGGCACCAAATACCTCCTCATCCTAACGGTAGCCAACAGGCACATGCTCCAGACTCAGCTAGAGAACACTGGGGAAATCCAGGCCCCCATCACCTTGCACACCACCATGGCTTTCCCTCCTCTTCTCCAGATGAAGGGCAGGAATGGCTGTCCACCCTAACAAGTAAGGTCTGTTCCAATAGAACCTTCCATGGATATACTAAGAACGCTCTTAGAAGGGAAGGCACCATTTCCTGGCGGGCAGTGGGTATCAGCTAATGAGAGAACTATGGCTGTGTGAGCAAGAGACTGGTACAGCGTCAAGGTGACCGACCGACCGGCCCTCCATCACCAGCAGCTCATCAGCCGATACACAGTGTGCTCTCTGTGCCAGGAACTGGGACGGGGTTCGGAGGGGTGGGGATGAACAAAACAAGCCCCAATTCTTGCCATCTCTGAGGGTCACCCTAGTGAAGGGAGGCAGTGCAGATGGTAAGAAGTGTAAGATACTCAAGGTGACAGGGCTGAGGAGTAGAGATGGGATTCTTGACAAGGGGACGGGAAGGAAGGTCTGAAAGACGTCAGGCTCCTGTGCTTGTGGCCCAGGCCACCGGGCAGCCCGAGCTGTGGAGGGAGGAGCACCAGGTCGGACTGGGGCTCAGATTCGATGTTAACAGCTGAAGACAGCAGCAAGGTAAGTCACTAGGGACAAAGAGGAAGAACGCAGAGAGAACAGGGAGGACTGACCCATAAAGTGATGCCACTGAGATGTCTTACTAGTTAAGACTCGATGATAAAAATAAATGAGCTATATCTGTTACTGGTTTAAGGTATTAATTCTTTCTCAGGAGTATGTGTACAAACCTGTGTGAATGTATGCCATGTATGTACGGGGTCTGGTGGAGGCCAGAAAAGTGCACTGGATTCCCTGGAGCGGGATTCACAGGCAGTTGTGAGACAAGCAACCAGGGTGTGGGGAACTGAACTCTGGTCCTCTGCAAAAGCAGCAGGCACCCTTATCCCCCGAGGCATCTCTGCAGCCCCCACAGATACAAAACAAAGCCTTGAACACTTCACTATGGAGACCTCTTAAGTACAATGGTCGCTGCCTGTGACGTCAGTGTTCTACCTATGAATGCAGCAGCTAGTGAGGCTGTATACAGTGGAGCGCAGACCTAAACTACTTAGAGTGAGCGAGCACTGGTACTGATGCAGCAACAGGCCGCGGCCTGACCATGCGGGATACGGAAGAACACACCTAGAAGGTACTCCATGCCCTGGGCTGACTGGATGACTTCTGTGCAAACAGCACTGCTGCTGATGCCGTTTAAGGTGTCGTTTGCCTTCTTAATGACCTGCAAGAAGTGAAATCACATTACCTGATACAACCAAGAAAGGCCACTGCAAATCCATTCCCCATGAGCGGAAAACCCAACCAGTGTGAGAAGCTGTGCCCAACCCGTGTGCAAGTGCCTATGCAGAGACGAATCTAAGAACTTAATTTTAACTTTGAAGAGACCATCCTTCACTTCTGTGGGAGGAAGTGAAGTGTGGGGAGAGGGAGGGGTTCTTGTTTAAATATTATTTTCATGTAGGTCAGAGGTAATGATACACCACTTTGCCACTTCCTAAATACAGTGACAGATAAGGGGGCACAGCTGACAAATGGGCCAGTGTCTACTACTGTACACTTGAAGGATGCCTGGGTTTCCTTTCTTTTTTTAAATGCATTATTTATTTTTAATCTTATGTGCATTGGTGTTTTGCCTGCATGTATGTATGTCTGTGTGAAGGTGTCGGATTCCCTGGAACTGGAGTCACAGACAGTTGTGAGCTGCCATGCAGATGCTGGGAATTGAACCAGGGTCCTTTGGAAGAGCAGCCAGTGCTCTCAACTGAGCCATCTCTCTGAGATCTCTGCATGGTGATGGAAGTAAGGCATCCTTTGTGCTTGCCTGCATTCATTCGAAAGAACCAAGGAGGAGACAGAACAGTACAAGGGAGTGTGCTCGGATGCACACAAGTGACATACTCACATCCAGGGCGCTCCCCAGGCACCTCTGCCACTCATACGCGTATCTCTCATTTTCCTGTGGGTTTTAGAAAAGGAACTAGGTTCAGCAGGCAGGCTTGGGGTCCTCTGTTTATCACTTCTCTCAATACAAAGAGCTTGGAAGACGCCTTCCTATTGAACATATGCTTGCAAAAGACAGTTATCATTTAAGAGTAGGAACTTGAAAGACCTATTTTATATCGGCCTCTCTGTGTAAATGCTGCTTCCTTTGTCCCAGTCAGTAACAGTGCAAGTGTCTCTCCAGTTACTCACCATGGGCATACCTAGTATATGAGCTAGTGCCATACTACAGCTTTAGTTAGGCGTGGTGACATACCCCAAAATCCTAGCACTTGCGGGGCAAAAGTAGGATCACTGAGTTTAAGGCCAGCCTGGTCAACATAGAGAGTTCTAGGACAACCAGGGCTTCATGGGACTGTCTCAAAACAACAAAAACTCCATAGAATACAGCTTTCTGTTCCACAGTTCACTACTGTGCGTGCATGTGTATGTGTGTGTACACGTGTATGTGTCACAAGGAACAGGGATGGAATTAAGTTACCACAAACAGAAACAGAAGATCCAAAATATTTTTTCCTCTCCTCTATGTTGATGTTTTAAAATTCAGTAGAAGGATAAAGTCTAAGTTTGGGGAAAGATCTTAACTGCTTCTCTCCTTGCAAAGTCCCATGGACAATTTCAACTTTAGCCATGACTTTCGGTGGCTGTCACACATAGGGAGCATTTTCATCCTGGCTAATGCTACCAGCCTCTACCTCTAATGATCTATTTGCCATCTGGTGTACAGTGTCTCCTCCTCATTCCTCCCCTCCCGCTCCCCTGGGAGAGCAGAAAAGCATTCTTTCTTGGGGTGCTCTCCCAGGCAGTTGCCCAGCTTACCTCCACCTCTCCAGTCAGGTCTTTGTACTTGTCTCGGATGACAGGCAGCGCTGTCTTCTCACTCAGGGTGTTGGAACGGTCTCTGAAAGGCTGCTCCAGGGCCGGAGAAGGAGAGGAACGGCTTATTTCTTTATCCCCAAGGCTTAAGCTCCTCTTGTGTGATCCTGGGTGGAGGGGACAGTAGGCACAAAGGTTCTGTTACTCGACCTGGCTCGAGCAGGGGCCTGTTTGCTGATGAGACCATCTTTTACAGGCGTCATGTCAGGAGGCGTTCTGAGACCCGGTCTTCGCTCGCTCTGTCCGGGAAGTCCTTTGAACCTCGGTCTCTTCTGCTTGGGGCCTTCCTCTGGTTTCCTCCATTACTCTTGTCTGATCTGTCACTACACTACATAATCTAAGTATGAATCACAGGTGTCTAGATGCAAAGTGCCTTTCTTTCTAAATATGGGCGCCTCGGAGCCATGAGTCAGTCCTTCCTGTCATTGCTTGTCGGCCTGTGCCTTCCTGGCTCCCTGCTTGAAGGCTGAGTTCTCCTGCAGACGTAGAGCTGCAGAGACAGGGAGTGAGGCAGCAACGAGGCCGAGGATGTGGGGAAAGATGGCAGAGACGCTGGCTAACCGGGAGGGACCCCTCCACCTCTGCCGTGTGCTGCTGCTCGGTTCCGGCTGACTGTTAAGAACTGGGAATGCAGGTCTTGCACTGCCAGACATTACAACTTTGCAAGAAACACCAAAAATCCAGATTGAGAAATAGAATTTTAAAATGTTTGCTATTACTTCAGGTTTTATGGGTCAATTAAAACAGATACCTTTTTAAAAGGTGGTGATTTTTGTGAATTTTAATTATGTATGTGTGCTATATGTTTGGATATGTGTTTATGAGTGCAGGTGCCCACTCATAAACTTGACGCCAAAGATATCAGATTTTTCTGGAGCTAGATAGAGTTCTAGTTAGTTGTGAGCTGCCAGAAGTGGGTGCTGGGAACCAAACTCAAGTCCCCTGCAAAAGCACTACATGTTCTTTTTGCTTGTTTGTTTTGAGGCAGGGTCCCACTATGTAACTGACTGTCCTGGAACTCTCTTTGTAGACCAGGCTGGCCTGAAACCCACAGAGATCCGCCTGCCTCTGCCTCCCAAGTGCTGGGACTAAAGGAGTGCGCCACCATGACTGACACAGGGCGTGTTCTTAACCACTGACTCATCTCTTGAGCACAGATAGCTTTTAAAAAATATTTAGGGGTTGGAGAGATGGCTCAGAGGTTAAGAGCACCGACTGTTCTTCCAGAGGTCCTGAATTCAACTCCCAGCAACCACATGGTGGCTCACAACCATCTGTAATGAGATCTGGTGCCCTCTTCTGTATACATAATAAATAAATAAATAAATAAATAAATAAATAAATAAATAAATAAATAAATAAATAAATCAAAACAAAACAAAACAAAAGCTACATGAAGAAACCCTATCTTGAAAAAAAAATAAAACAAAACAAAAACTATTTAGTTTGGGCTAGAGAGACGGCTCAGCAGTTAAGAGTACTGGCTGCTCTTCCAGAGGTCCTGAGTTCAATTTCCAGCAACCACATGGTGGCTCACAACCATCTCTAGTGGGATCTGATGCCCTCTTCTGGCATAGAGGCATACATGCAGAGACAGCATTCATATACATAAAATAAACAAACAAATAAACAAATCTTTTAAAATATTTAATTTATTAAAACGTTTTTATTAGACTTATTCATTTTATTTTATGTGTGAGTGTTTTGCCTGTGTGTATGTATGTGTACTATATTCGTGCTGGGTGCCCCCCAAAATCCAGGCATTGATATCCTGAAACTGGAACTGTGAATGGTTGTGAACCAGCATGCTAGAGACCAAGAATCAAGCCCAGGTCCTCCTCAAGAACAAACACTCTAACTACTGAGACACTGCTCCACCAGCCCACTTGTTTTATTTTTAAATAAACTGTGTGTGTACGCACATGTGCACACGGAAGCTAGAGGTGTAGGATCCTCCTAGAGTTACAGGCAGTTGTGCCTGACGTGGGTGCTAGGAACTGAACTCAGGGTCCTTTGCTGTACCCTCTTAACCACTGAGCCACCTCTTTAGGCCCCAAAGAGAGCATTACAAATGCATTCATGGGCACAATGACTCAGCAGGTAAGGACTCTTGCTGCCAAACCTAACAACTCACGTTGGATGCCCAGGACTCACATGATGGAAGGAGAAAACAGACTTCCAAAAGTTGTTCTTTGACTTCCATATGCGTGCCCTGGCATGTGTACCCACACACATAAATAAATATACATTCGGTGCCAGGCATGGTGGTGCATACTAGCACTTGGGAGTACTTGGGAGGTTGAGGCAGGAGGATCAGATGCTCAACAGATCATTCTCTGTAACACAAAGGGTTTGGGGCCAGCCTGGGCTACATGAGACCCTCTGTCAAAAAAACAATAACAAATAAAACCCCCAGATCTGTAGGCTGAATAAAGATTCATAGCCATACTGAATTTGGGGAACAAGAGCAGAGCTAGCCTGCCCCCAAATGATCAAATCCACTTCTTTGGCTGTTTCAGATAGCATACTTCTTTTTGGTTTTTTGTTTTGTTTTGTTTTGATACAGGGTCTCTATAGTCCTGGAACCGGCTATGTAGACCAGGCTGACCTTGAACTCACACAGATACTCCTGTCTCTGTCTCTCGAATGCTGGGATTAAAGCATCTGCCACCACGCCTGGCCTACAGCACACTTCCAAGCCAACTAGAGTGTGAAGAAAAGCCACACTCTCTACTTGTTCTTCTTCAGTAAGCAGTGATGAGGGGCAGGGACTCCACCTGAGCTCCAGGGAAACCCCAGACTTAGAAGCTGGAACATCTATGTCCTGCTAAACAAGGAATCTTTTTTTTTTTTTTTTAATTATTTTTTAGTTTTTGAGACAGCGCTCATCATGTAGCCTAGGCTGGCCTGAAGCTTGCTATATATAACCTAGCTGACCTCAATCAAACTCATGATCCTCCTGCCTCAGCCTCTTGAATGCTACGGTTACAGACAGGCATCACCATGCCTGGATTTAAAAATTACCATTTTATTCTCAGGCAAGGATGTGGAGCAAGCTCACAGGAAGAAAATCTTACCTTGAACAGATAGGTCAAAGGTTGCCAGCTCACTTTTGATCATTTCTTCACTGGACTTCATTTTGCTTTGTGAATTGGCTACTAAAAAGTCAAATTTGCTGATTTTGGGCTTTTCACTTTGAAATTCTCCAAAGTCGTCGACATACTCCTTGGGGGTTTCGTGAGAGGCGACACTGGAAGCCGGGCTTGGACATGTGGTCTCTTGGCTCCGGTCCACCGTGGGCAGGTCCTGCCTGGTGAAATCCTGGTAGTCCCCACTTTCATACTCTTTCTGCTCAATGGTCTGAGGCATCATGTCTTTAAAGCTGGCAAAGGCTGGGAAGGGAGTCTCTGGAAGAGCATCCTCGATTGCCAAGGCCGTCCCTTTGAAGAGAGATGACATGGTGATGTTTTCAGAACTGCCAAATGAGGTCCCTTTCTTTGGAAGGTTTGAGGTGGCTGAGGAAGACCCACTTCCTGCTGAGGGGACAAATGGAGAGAGTTTTCTGCCCTGAGATCTCAACCCTGTCTGGCCAGTCACAGCTCCCAAGTGTGCTCGCTGCAAAAATGGCTACTGTAGCTTGCAAAAGCATCGCAATTTAAGCCCTCTGCATCTGAAGGGGACGGTCCCACAGTTAGAGGCATGCTCCTAAGTTAGGCAAAATGCCTAGAACGTTTCATCAGTCCCATACCATGCTGCAGAAACTACAGTCAAAGCCTGCTCTAAAATTAAAGAAGTTGGGCTGTAACACTGGATCTTTAAGAAACCATATTCATTTTCAGCTAGCATTTATATTTGATTTTAAAGAATCCTTTTAGCTGGGCATGGTGTTACACACCTTTAATCTTAGCATTTGGGAGGCAGATTTCTGAGTTCGAGGCCAGCCTGGTCTACACAGAGTTCCAGGATAGCCAGGTCTACAAAGAGACCGTCTCAGAAAAACAAAAACAAACAGTAAATCCTTTCTGTTATATGTAAAAAATTACTACAAAGACAGGTTACATAGTCATGTCCACAGTTTGATAGAAGATTCAGATCATTTAATGAATTATTCCTTTTGGAGCTTGAAGGCATTCTTACATATTCCATACTCAAAACACATCTCCTTTTCTCTAGACTGTGTTAGACAGTGTTCCTCTTAGAGTGAAAAACAGAAAATGTGACAAACCAAAAGTCCAGTTTCTCAAAACAAAAAGTAAAAACATTCTCATCTAACTTTTAATAGATTACTTGAAATTTCTGTGTCAGGCAAAGACACATACAGGATTTTAATCAAATAGTCACTTACCTCATTTTTTATTTTGGTCAGTTTGGGTATCCTATTGCTGGGATAGAATGTGAGAAAAACAAAAATCAACCTGAATTACTTTAGTCCTTAAGAAAAAACAAAAACAAAACCAGAATGGAGTGCCCGGGTGTGGTGGCACACGCTTTGAATCCCAGGAGGCAGAGGCAGGCGGATCTCTTTGAGGCCCAGGCCAGCAAAGGAAAAGTCTGAGGTCCTTCTGGGCTGTTTCTGCCTCAGTAACGCATCTTCCTCCCCACACTCACTGGAAAATGGAAGAAGTGAAAGAAAGACGAGCTGGGCTAGAAGACCTGCTATCTTCTTCGTCTACATTTAAGTGAGTAAGCTGGATGAGGTGGCGCACACCTTTGAGGCCAGCACTCAGGAGGCAGAGGCAGGCTGATCTCCAAGGCCAGCCTGGTCTATGAATGAATGAATGAATGAATGAATGATTAACGAGATAGCAGAGAGAGCAGAAAGAATACAGCTTTTCAGTCTGGAAAGATCGGAGTTTGACTCTGCCACCTACTTTGTTAGCATGGCCATTATGGTTCAGTGTGGCCTTGAATCCTGGCCACCCTCCCACCTCAGCCTCCAAAGTGAGCTTTTCTGAGCCCTGGTATGCTCATTTACGAAGTGGAGATGAGTCTATATGTATATGAAGGATTGTGAGGACAATCAGTTGTGATGACGTGTGTGCAAGATTCTTCAGTGCCCAGAGGGCAACACATGGAACGGCTTGAATCCTTTCAGAATCAAAACAAAAAGGCAACTCCCCATCTTAGAGATTTATCAGGAAAAGCTGGTCTGCTCATTTTCTTCTCCTCTCTACCCTTCTGTCACACAGGGGATTGAACCAGGGCTTTGGGCATACCAGGCAAGTGCCTGGCCACTGACCCACATCTCCAGCTCTCTGTTTTTAACTCTGCTGAGACAGGCTCTTACTAACTTGCCTAGGCTGGCCTTGAACTCAAAATCCTCCTGCCTCAGCCTCTTGAGTAGCTGGATTACAGGCCTGGCTTTCCAGCTAGTTTTCAAAAAGCAAAATTAGAGAAGGCTGCCTATGGCAGGGTGAAGAGACTCCTCTCCACAGGGCACTGGGGCGGGGTGAAGAGACCCCTCTCCACAGGGCACTGGGCGGGGTGAAGAGACCCCTCTCCACAGGGCACTGGGGCAGGCTAGAGTCGCCTATTTCACTTAATGTAGCCGAGACGAGAAGGCCAACCACCCTGACAACCACACACACACACCTCACAAAGAATCCAGAGTTCTGTGACCGGATTTTCATAATTAAGCCAATGGGTGGAACAACACTGGTCATTTTCCCTCCTTCACAGCAATAACACATAGTTTAGAATAGGTACGAGGTTCCAGACACTTCTACAGCTCTCCCACCAGCACTCCACACATCTCCCTATGCTCTGATAAGAGCACTAAATTAATAATAAAAATGCTACATAGTCAACCAGTAAAAAGCCAATCTCTTCTGCTAAATGATGGAGTACTTTAAAATTCTGCAGTGCAAACTGTACCCCTTCACATGTGGCCTGCTTAATAAGAAGGACAAATGATTTGGGCAACAAATTTATCATTTAGAATAAATGAAGCAAGCCGTTAGACAAGGCACTTTCTTAGTCTCTCACTGTAGTGGTTCCTCTATGTGGAGGATCTACCTAGATCTAGGTGTGCAGGCTCAAAGGAGGTGCCATTCAGTCAGGAGGCAGATGTGGTTAAACTCAAGACCAGTTTGTCAGGGGTACATTCAGCAGAATGCTTCACCACACGGATACATTTATTATTAGACCCTTCCAGTAGACTCCTTGGGGAAACCATATCAGAAACTGCTTCTAGTATCTTATCTATTAAAAAGCAGTGATTCTGTTTTTCAGACCAGAGACAAATTTATGAAATGAAGCTCTGGTTCAAACACTGCAACCAAGTTGCTATGGTAATAAAAAGACCTTTTTGTGCAATTATGCAACAAGAAAGCAAGCCTTTTTTTTTAAATCAAGAATGACTCATATTATCAGGTAAAAGGCATTGTAAGCAATAAGGATTACCTTAGCTGAAGAGCTCTTATGATTTTCTAACTATGAAGGTCTCCAATGAAATCATATAACATTTTACCTCTGGAGCCACTCACTGAGGTGAGCCAAAGACTTAATGAAAAACCAAACGAAAAACTTACAAAGAAATGTTTGAGGTGTGTGTGTGTGTGTGTGTGTGTGTGTGTGTGTGTGTGTGTGTTTTGTGTGTGTATAAAATTAACTGAAGGGTAGACATGTTATGAGTCACTAAGTGCAAGCTTTGAAACTGAATGTTTTTATTTTTGCTTACTTACTGGCTACTAGTGGGTGAAAAAGCAATTTACTAAAGAGTAATTAATTTGAACACATAAGCACTAAACTGGCATTATATAAGAACCAAAAAGCAAACAATTACATAATATCCTTCCCTAAGCCTTGGCATCTATACACAGTATAAACGCAGAGTGTGCTTTTTTTTTTTTTTTTTTTGGTACAGTAAATACTAGGTAAGCCATTTTTTTAAAAAAAATTGTCACGTAAGTTGATTGAAGGTAAAGAACAAACATGAAAACTATCCATTTTCCCATGTTAGCAGCTCTCTATTTGCTTAGCAACCCAGTTCTATGTATTATCGTATAAAGTTCTTAAAAATAATAAAGAACAAGGCTTCCAGCATGAAGGACGGGAGCCCTGTCTGGGGAAAGTGATACAGGATGCTATAAGCACCAAAATGACTAGTGATGGTTTTGCAATTTCCTAGCTGAATTTTGAAAATTACAAGAGAAAAGAAAAAAGAAAATGGAGAATCACCACAATCAAAGAAAAGTATTGTATCTCCAATTCTTCGGGCTCCTGGATGGTGCTAACCAGAGCTGCAACCAGGCACAGGTAACAAGTCAAATTGGGTGCTTTCACTCATGGATTTGTTTGCAACCAGGAATTCACTATGACAAAGGGCAAAAGAATAAACAGTATGACCGGCTTCCCATCATGGAACAAATCAAGACATGGCTCTCTCTCCTACAGGCAGCTAACCCTATCAGGCTCTTCCATAACCTCTATTCAAATGCACTCTGAACGCATGTTGTACATGAAAACAGGGTATCCCCAGGCATGCAAGCCACCCCCACAGGACACAGAAGACGAGACCCACTGTGGATGTTTTATAAAGCTGGGGACATATGCCCAAGAGATTAAGAGTTACTAGCTTTTAAAGAAGGAGTTTAGAGGAAGGGGGGGGGGAGAATTACATGCACAATTCCACTATTCTGGAGTGTTCTGCATAGCAGTAGCAACGTTTGGTGGCTCAAAGAGAACAACTTCTAATGTCTAACGCTGCGTTAACCCAGCCTTCATTTACCAACACAAACCACAAAATAGTTGTGTATTTTCATTTCTCCCATTTTGGGCCCAATTCTCCCTTAGAGAATACTCTCCACGAACTGTAAAGCCCAGTCTGACCATGTCCTGCTAAGTCTCAAGCATCCTGATAGGCACTGCTGTAGAGAACAGGAAACGTGTCCTCACCGAGCAACAGGCTACACAAGACTGCTGCCTGATCGCCTTCCTGTTTGCTAATCTGTATAGAAACTCCCCATTCTCCATGTTTGCACTGACTCCCATGACACTATGGTTCACACTGTGTCCACACTAAGTGTTTTCAGGTTTCTAGGTCAATGCTTTGAGTTCAATAAAGAAAAGCAGTAAGCACGAGAATACTAAACTCAGAGGAGGCCAGAAAGCAAGAGATAGTAAGACTGTCCAAGGTCAGTCAGGGAAAGCCCAGGCTGGAGACGGGGCTCAGAGTTTAAGAGCATGGACCGCTCTACCAGAGGACCCAGCAGCCATGCCAGGCACCTCACAACTGCCTGTAACTCCAGCTCTACCTTCTGTGGCACCTGCACGCCAAGTGCATGCCCCCCCACACATTTGAAAACAGTAAAAATAATAGGAACCCCATGAAAGTGATACCAAATGAGCACAAAAGATGATAATTACAATGAAGGCTTTCTGGCTACCAAAAGGGAGAGAGCAGCTTTAGGAGACAGAGCCTCCAGGGTATATGCCCTCTTAAGTTCTCACTTAGCGGACATTTCCCAAACAACTTATCAAAAGTCTTCAAATGATAGAACCAAGTAGAAGCTACTCATAGGAAAAACAATAAAGTGATTTTGGCTGAGAGTATACCTCAGTGGCGGCGGCGCACACGCCTTTAATCCCAGCACACAGGAGGTGGAGGCAGGTGGATCTCTGCGAGTTCAAGGCAATCCTGGTCTACAGAGTGAGTTCCAGGACAGCCAGGGTCACATAGAGGAACCCTGTCTCAAACAACAATAGCAAAGAATAACAATCCAATTCCTTCAATTATTTTAGAAGGTAGCACAGCTTGTATGACATTGCCAGTGTTCTCTGTTCTCACCTGTTCCCTCTGGTAATCAGCATGGATTCTAACAGGAACAACACAGTGACTGCAGAACACCAGCACATTTGTGAGATGTCTCATGCACTGACAGAGACAAGCAATAGCCAACCATATCTTACCTGGCATCAGGATAAACACCACAGTGTTATTTGTTTGGACCTACAGCACAGAATGCAAGTCTTTATCACAAAAAAGGGAAGTTGTGTTATACTATAAAAACTCCCTCCCTAAAAACAATGTGCTATATAGACACAATGAGTTGTTCAGTGAATGACAGTTACACACAGGGATAGTCACTTCTGCTCACAAGAGTTAATGCAATTCCCGTAGACTGCTCTGGCTTTGGAGAATCTATTGACACAGCCCATGAGGTGGCTCTCACAGCGGAGAGTGCAGCTGCTGGAATCACCAGCTGGAGGCTCTCTCCTCCCAACACTGTTAGCAGCACACGGAGTTAAAATGCAGAGCATCTCCTACAAGGTTTTAACAGTGACTTCTCGGCTTTCAACACATTATCCATCTCAAGTGAAGGCTTGGCTTTTCTGTGAGTCAATTTCAACCCTGACACCCAACTTTTTTCTTTCTCGGGTGGCATATGAAAGTGATCTCTGGAATCCTACTCAAAATTCCCATTTTCAGGAGTTTAATATCCTTTCTTCTACAAATTCTAAAAATGATCAAAAACTTAAAACCTTCAAATCATGCGTGAAAAGTGAAAACATTAGTTGGCGGTGGTGGTGCATGCCTTTAATCCCAGCACTCAGGAGGCAGAGGCAGGCAGATCTCTGTGAGTTCAAGGCCAGCCTGGGCTACAGAGAGAGTGCCAGGACAGTCAAGGCTTCACAAACAAACCCTGTCTAAAAAAAAAAAAAAAAAAAAGGTGAAAACATTGAAATGATTCTTTCCCCCAAAATCTCTATGCAGCTTGTGTTTGAGACTTGAAAAAGAATTCTATGTCAAGGTTCCTCACTCTTATCCTATTCCAAAATAGAGCAAATAGCTTCCAAGTCTGGGTACTCATTGCTAACTTTCACTGGTCTTTGAGATTTTGATAATTAATTTATTGATTGATTTATTGCCATTCTGGGATCAAATCCAGTGCCTTGCAAACACTCGACTACTGAGCCAGGCCAGAAACGGTTTTCTTAAGAATGAAAATCATTTAAAGCTTGGTTCTTTTGCTTTGTGGGTTGTTTTAGTTTCCAATGTTTACTACTATTGTGTGTATGGCGCTGTCTATGTCTGAGCACAAGTGTGCCATGCGTGAGTGTCCAGGTCATCTCCTTCCACTCGTTCATGGTTTTTTATTTTATTTTATTTTTTACTTTGTCTAGTGAGACACAGTAGTATACTCAGGCTGTCCTTGAACTCACAATTCTGTCTCAGCCTCACAAGTGCCAAGATCACTGGTGTGTGTCTCACACCCAGCTGAGCCTTATTTTTGCATTGCTGAGGGTAATATATAAATATTAATATATTCCTACATATATTGATTTATCTGGTGCTGAGGATTAAACAAGTACTTTGCGGATGCTACCATCTGAGCTAAGAGCCTAAAGCTACACGTCAGTCCGATGCCACATTAAGGACTTCTGTCAATGGGCTTACAAGAAGCAAAGGCTAAACCATACTCCTGTTTCTCAGGAGGAAAAAAGAAAGCCCAGTCTCAAGGGACATGACTTCAATTTTATACCAGTCAGTTATCTTTTTAGTCTAATTCTGAAAACCACAAATTACACACATCCCCACACTTTCAAAATATGCCAAAGAATCGTTTATTAACACAGGACTTACAGATCGCAAAAGAGAATAGTACAGAAGAGCTGGGAAGGAGCCATCAGAGTAAGCATGCAGGCCAGTGTTCGCAGAGAAAGAGAATAAAGCAAGTTCCAAAGGGCACATTCACACACAAGTGTCTATGTTGAAAAAAGACATCAGAAAAGCAGCCAAAAAATAAATAAATAAATAAATAAGGTGCTGATTAAAATACAAAGATTTTCCATGTCAAAAGGAGCTACTACACAGGTAGGTAGCCGCAGAGGTCTTGCTGACTCTTTGATAAAGTCACAAATCAAAGTAAGCTCTTGCTGCGGAGAAACAAAGGGTCTTAAAGACTGAACATCAAGACACTGCTGTACCAGAAAGAGTAAATTTAGGGGGATGGGAAAGCAGCCTCATTGAAATTATACGCAGCAAGGGCTAAAGGGTAAATGTAATGATGTGCAGAGAGAAACCAGGCAATGTTATTAGTATATCTACCTTCCATACAAAGAGTTAACAGCACGGGTTAGAGACAGTATCCCCTTCAGAGTTAAGTTAGGGTTTCCAACCAGGACCACGGTCCATAGACAGTAAACATCCAAGTTCTTTGTGCTCCATCAGCCCACTTCTTATTTCTCCAGAATATCCTTTTAACCCTCAGACTAAGAGAGCAAGAGATACATGATGAGCGGAAGGGCCAAATAAAGTCCCGGTGCATTGAAGCAACGCGTGCCACTTTCCCTCGCTAGTATATTTATTTATGCAGCAATCTTGCTCAACGACACATAGGCATAACTCCTGGGTCAGCCATCAACCCTCTTAACAACCGCTCTGAAGGGTTACTGCTCCTTTCCCACTGGAGGTTTACAGAGCAACAGAAGGCAACAGTCTGCTTTTCAGGTCTCCTCCCTCTGAAGACAGCTGGCTTGAACATGACAGGTTCCATTCTGGGAATGTTCCAGACATACAGAGAGAGCACGGGCATAGATTATTTAACAGGTCCATTGGAATGAGCTCCGTCAAAAGCCAACCTCCCCTTCCCGAATAAAAGGTGGGAAAAAAGACATCCCCAAACCTGGATTCACTCATTTCACAAAGATATGTGGTTTGGCACTGTGAAAGAATATAGATTCATTTTTCAGAAAAATAGCCTCTAATTAATAATTCCAAGTCTAAATGGCTAGTATACATGTTGTGAAATTGTTTTTTAAATAAAAGTCAAATGCTGTTGTTTAAAAAAACAATGCCCCTTGCAACCGAGAGTTGTGGCTCCCACAGCTCATACAAAAAAGAAGAATAAAATCACCCATCAAACGAACAGCAGCAAAGGAAAAACAGAACACAAATGAGGAAATAACAGCGGAGGGCAGAAGGAGCTCAGACAGTCCGCTGCCCCTAGGAAAGCCCTTGGCCGGCAGCAGGTGAAACACACGCATCTCTGCTAACTTGCTTCCCATTCCAAACCCAGCATAAGAAACGCATTTCAGTAGCAAAGGACAGACACTATCTGCCAGTTTGAAATCTGCGGACTCTACAGCACTTCACAATGTCTGCTGAGCCTGTAAACTTGGAAGTGTCTTACCTGCCCCTCTCAGGTAAAGAAACAAACCCTGCATGTACACACTACATTTTCTAGAATAATACAGTAATGCCGAGAGAGTTCTCATTATTAAAGGCCACAAAATAGGTTTATCTTTCTATATACATATTAAAAAAACAAAACAAAATAAAAACTAGGACACTTGGGAATCTAGTTCTTGTGACAAGAAGTTGGACCAGAGAATAAACTGCTACACGTAAGTCCACACAGGGTTTAAAGAGGGCTCCCTCGTGAAAGGTTTGCACACATCCTATCAGAAGTTAGTAGTTACCCTAGCATCTACAGGGTTATTACAACTTAATACTCGCAGTAACACTGCAAAACAGTAACACTGAAAACAGGCCTGCTCCCCGCCAGGTCCTCACACAGGGAGCATCCCTAAGTGACCTCTTTCCCTCTTCTCAAGGAAGCTGGCAAATTGCATTACAAGTGGGAAGAGTTTTTCAGTCTCTTGGCCTAGGAAGAGTCAGTTTCTGTAAACCAAACAAACACTGTCTTAGCAACTCTAAATATGCTCAAGAGAAGACAAAAGGGGAGCGGGAGCACTGATCCGCTCCCAGGGGTGAAGAAACACTGTGCACACTGCAAAGTCTTTATAAAATTCCTGCCTGTGTGGGGTTCACGGAGGAGTGGGTTTCTATGGGCCTCTGACACTAAGTGAGCATTGGGTTTCAAAAATAAAACTATTCCGGCTCTCCAATCTAAGCTCCGGAGCAGTCAGAGTACCCGTAGAGTCATGTTCCATGCCATCATGTTAACACTGCTTCAAGCAGACAGACGACAGGAGGCCAATTAATTACTAGATATGCGCCAAGGACGGGCCAGAGCCTCAGTCTGTCTGTCAGTACCCACAGAATCATCTTTGAAATCTACATCACCATCACCAGAGCAATCTCACCAATTCCTCACCTGCGGCAGGAGGATGCTGGCCACTAACTGTTGGTAAATCCAAAGAGCTATCAGACATGACATGCTTAAGATCTCCTCCCACATCAGCCAATTTCATGTCAAACTGAACAGAAAGAGCATCTTCAGAGTCCTCCTTGCCAACGCTGCTGCCACCGATGGAGGGGAGATCTAAAGACTTTACCGAGGCAGAGTCTTCTTTGGCGTGTCTGAAAGCCACTGCTTTCTCTCCCAGGGATTTGTCTGAGCTTGTGGATGAAAATTTACTGGAATGGAAGTCAGCAAAGTCCTCATCACTCTTTGCAGAAGGAGTGTTCTCTTTGAACTCCTCCATGGCCAGTCCAGCTCCCTCTAGGGAAAGCTGTTTGAAGACATCATACTTGGAAGATGCAGCAGGTGGGTTCTGGGCACTCTCCACTGTGCTGCTGGCTAAGGAGTTGGGACTCACTTCCTCTCTGAGGACGTCATATTTGTCATCTACTTTTGGCTCAGATGAAATAGAACTGTTACCGAAAGCCATGAAATCTGCAAAGTCGTCCTGCTCCCCAACAGATGCAGGATTCGAATATTCCCCGAAGAGATTGAACTCTCCAAAATCATCTACCAAACTAGAAGTTTTAGTGGATGCCAGTGCTGCCGAGGCTGCTGCAGAGCCGGCTGCCGGAGGTCTCGTGGAAACTGACTTGGACGTGCTAAATGCAGCTGAAAAGGGCACCGGTTTCTCACCGCCGCAATTCACCGAGGAGAACATATCTAGGTCTGCTAAGTTCAGAGGGGTTTTCACTTGTGTCTGTTTCTGCTGTGCAGCTCCGGAGGGAAAGGCTGCTGGAAAAGCGTCTTTTGGTGGTGGTTCTAGGGGTGACACACTATCGGCGGTCTTGAAGTCGGTGAAGCCGTCATCAGTTCCGGTGGATCTGAACTCAGCAAAGCTCTCTCCTGAAAGAAAAAAGTGCAGTGAGGTAAAGCCGCAGAGCTGAAGACCGCATGTACAATGCATATTGAACTGAAGTGTAATTTTGTAGGTTTCTCCTCGGCTTGACCATAGTCCACACTCTTATCAGACAGTTTCATTAACAGTGAAGAAACAGTCAAGTACCACCATCAAGACTCCTCCCCTGGCCAGAACTTAAAGAGAAGCTGGAGGCTCCAGAGAGGCACACTGTAATAGCAACCCTTTAAAGATGAAACATGTTATATAGTTTTAAACAAAATCAAAAGTATCAATGAAATACTGAGAAAAAGTCTGCCTCTGATATTCAGAATGCACTTTCAGAAGATTTAGAAGCTGGGTGTTGTGGCACACACCTTCCCAGAACTTGGGAAGCTGAGGCAGAAGGATCACAAGTTGAGGTCAACTTGGGCTACATAACAAGACCAGGTCTCAAATATACCAATCAACTAACCAAACAACCAATGAACTAACCACCACCAAAAGCAAAACAACCCAATTACTAGAGGCTAGCATTGTAGCTCAATGCTCAATGGTAAAGCTCATGCATGATACAATCATGACCTAGTTTCAATGCAGAGCACACATGCACACATACATACATGCACACACACAGGAACACAAATTATTAGACAGGATGTAATGAGGTCTTGCTCAAGTACATGGACATATTAATTCGAAGATATTTTGGCAAAATAACTCTTTGAAAAAACAACTACTTATTTGGAAAGCAAGTTCAGTGCCCTAGATATATAGGAGCATTGTAAAAACATAAAACCCTGATTGCTGTTGTTTTGTGCACGAGTGTGATGTGCACATGTGGAAGTCAGAGGATAGCTCTGAGGTGTTGACTCTCTCCTTTCTCCTCCTTCCTATGGAATCTGAGGGCTGTGGTGTCTGCGGCAGACATTTTTATTCTGAGCCACTTTCTCTAGTTCCTGAGGACCAATTATTAAAGCTCTGGAGCCATGGCTCCTCCTAAGGTTTCCATTCTTCCTCAGTATCTCATCAGTCACAACTACAGTGCCAGGATGCAGATGACCTCAGGTCCCTTACAATGTCTGAAGGTCTACAGTGAAGCCCATGAGGATATGTCATTTAATGAAATCCAGAGAATACCAAACATGAATATTGCTATACCAACCAACATCACTGATAATTTAAAAATACGACTATCACTTCTAGAGATTTAAAAATAAAAAAAACCCTGAATTTCTTTACGACTCCACACACTTTTTTTTTTTTTTTTTTTTTTTTTTTAAGACAGTCTACCTTTGTAGTTCTGGCTGGCCTAGAATTCACTACATAGAGCAAGCTGGCCTTGAACTTGTGGCAGTCTCCTGTCTCTACCTCCTGAATGCTGGTATTATAGGCATGCACTTATATGTCCAGCTTCTCACTCATTTTTTAAAAAAAAATTGTTCCTAAAAAATTGAAACAGATACATATGAACAATAAAAATGTACTTAAAACCAAAACCATAAAGTCAGTTTCTAAAACTGACACCAAGGAAGATAGACTTTAAACCTATTGTGCCTGATGCATGACCTGCACTTTGATTTTCCAGATTGCAAAAACACTGGAAACAGTGTGATTTTTCTTCTTAATCTGATACTGAACCTATTTACTAACAAAAGTCATCAATACAAATCCATTCACAATACCAGAGAAACCTGAGAAAAAGGAGCAGCCTTCAAGTTTCCTATAATTTTTGTTTTCAAGATATAACATTAAAAGTCATTAACATAATAAAAAAGTCAATTTCACAAACTGACAGGAAATACAAATGTGAACATTACACTAGGACTTTAGAGACACACCATGATGCTTGTGTTATTTCTGTAAATGAAAAGGTAATTAGTAGTAAACTTGTTGTTGTCGCCACCATTTTGGTTTTTTGAGGCAGGGTCTCATCTCACATGGTAGCCCAAGCTGACCTTTAACTCATGGCAATTCTCCTGTCTCAGCCTCATGAATGCTATAATTAGAGGCGTGAGATACGATGTCCAGATCAGGTCCTAAACAGACTTTTGATGTACTCCTTTGAAATATCTGTGAAATTGACAGGTTTTGATTTTTAAACACAAATCACACAGCAAACTAAACTTACTGATGATGAATTGCAAATTTTTCCATCAGAAATGTAAACTGGGGTTAAAAGGAAATGAAAATGGGGGTTTATAACTTCAAAACCAAAGCACATTCCAGCAGCGAAGCTAGCTGGGAGTGAACCTTTGTTCCACGCAGATTTTTAGTTCACTGTGGACTCCTGCAAGCTCCTCCTTTGATTTTTGTAACTTTTCAGGCCCTGGGAAAATTTCAAGTGAGTATTGGCTAAAGCTCCAATAAGAAGTGTCCTTTCTTTATGGAGAACATTTCTCAGAACTTACACGGAACTTCTGGCTTAACCTGTGAGCATGTATTAAACCGTGACTCAGCAGTGCGAGAATCTCAGCTCTGAACTGCCACCCTGCAGTCTCTAAGGCTTGGCATTAAGCACCCCCAACTTTTTGGCTCAAATTTGCTGTGTAGCCGAGGATGACCTGTGCTCCTCGTCCTTGTCTTCCTGCCTCTACTTTCCAGGTGCTTGGAGGAAAGGTCTGTACCACAAACGGCTCAGACCAAGGAAACTTTTTTAAAGTTTAGGAGAATAAAACATTCAACATAACTGATCAAAGTCAGTAACTCAGAAGGCTTTAAACTGAGTGAAGCAGAGAAATGAAAACAAGCAAATCAAAATGACAATAACTGGGCCGCAGTTCAGGATGAGAAAGCAGGACTAAGGCGCCACTTACATTTTGGGCACCACTACCTTTTCCCATTGTCTCTAATAAGAATAATGTTTATGGGGCTAGAGAAATGGCCCAGCAGTTAAACACACTGACTATTCTTTCAGAGGACCTGGGTTCAGTTCCCAGCACTCACATGGCAGCTCATAATGCTCTCTCTGGGCTCTGTTGGGCACTAGGTTCCCATGTGGTACACAGACATACATGCAGGCAAAAACACATACATAAAATTAAATTAATTAATTAATTAATTAATTTATGTTTTTCAAGACAGGGTTTCTCTGTGTAGTTTTGGTGCCTGTCCTGGATCTTACTCTGTAGACCAGGCTGGCCTCGAACTCACAGAGATCTGCCTATCTCTGCCTCCGAGTGTTGGGATTAAAGGCGTGCACCACCGTCACCCGACAAAATAAAAAAATTTTAAAGTAACATTTATATCATGATCATTAACGCCATATCACACAAAGAATCCTGACATAAAATCAGCCTCTACTCAAAACTTGCCTAAGACAAAATGAAGTCAGGATTCCTCTAAGGTTCACATTGGAATGTCTAGTGCCTAACAGAAGTATAGAGGAAGAAATAGCTTTCCCATCTTAAAGGCTTGCATGAAACACAAGGAAATATTGCTAGAACTTAAGATCTAGGAGAGACTGACTTCTAAGAGGTGGCCCTTCCTGTGGAGAGATATCTACTACACCTCCCTTACTCTTACATCATCTTTCGCACCCCAAGCAAAAGTGGAGAAGTGAGCTTTGAGCACTGAGTACATCAAGGCAGAATGTGATTGTACTCTCAGGAGGAATCCTCATTAGAGTAGACACATTTCACAATATGCAGAATGAAGGTTTAGGTGGATTACTATGCCATGTTTAACCACACACACTAACTTCTATCTCATACACACATGCACACATGCTAAATATTCACTCTACACTGAGCTACATCTCAGCCCGGAAGCTTTGGAAGGCCACTTGGTACTGCTTTGTGCCATATAGCACTCCCTGTGCCAACAAGGTAGATTTGGTAAAACGCTAATTAGGCCAAGTCTTGCTTGCCTGTACTTTGTCATTTTGTACAAATACAATACTTTGTTTTTCTTAATGATCCTTAGTTCTTGAAGAGTATTAAGTAGACAGGACTGTGTCACTAATGAGAAATCCTCAGAAAAAAACCATCTACTTCTTTATTAGTGGTGCTGCACCACACTTAGGCTCTCTTTGGGAACAACAGATCAACTCTCACATGATGCATGTCCTCTAAGCTGTGGCCGGGGCTCTCCTGCTGTCAGGCAGAGCCACACCCCACCTTGTGAGTGTGAAATGCCTCATTCCTGCCTTATGATACATTCTGCTTTGTCACAGATGTTTCCTGCTGCTTCCCAGTTTGGCTTTGAACTTGCTATGTATCGAGGACAAACCTGAGCTCCTGCTGTTCCTACTTTGGCAGGGCCGTGCTGAGGTTTACAGGCTCTACTCACCTGGCCCATCAGAGTGGCTTTCTCCTTTTTAATTAAAAAAAAAAAAATTAGGTTTACTTATGTATTTTTTCTGTGCTTGCACCCATCCATACACACACAAGGAGGCCTAAGTACAAGAATGCTACCACATGCCGATGTGTCAAGTTCACAGGGGACTTGCAGACTCTGGGGACAGAACTCGGGCTGTCAGGCTTGGCAGCAAGTGTCCTTATCCACTGAGCTATCTCCCCAGCCCCAGAGCTGTTTTGAATTAGGTTATTCTACAATGTTTTTCTTTCCAAATGATGGATGAGAAACCAAGAAAACAATAATAACGCCAAGTGCCATACTGGGAACTGATTTCAAGTCTTGATTAAGACTGGTGGCTACTTCCGCACAGAGCACAGGAGCGCTGTGAGCAGCCCCTTGGCATGTCTGGATAGAGCAGTTACAGCTATCTCTGATACAGGACCTAAGCTGCCTGGCAGATACCAGTGAAAGGCAACGCACTGTTTTCAGAGGAAACTGTACTGATTTGACATTTACCTAAAATTTTAAAAGTACCTTCCAAAAAAATGAGCCACATTGCCTCACTGTAATTTCAAAGCTCCCCAAAATTAGCCGTATCCCACAAGATAGTGCTCTACTCAGCCCATCACAATACTTACTGAGCATTACAACAACCATTAAGGGCTTCTGAATTTAAACACTGCCATCTAAGTATGTATCACAACAATTATTACTATGCCATAAAATAATATGTCAGGTTTTTTTTCAAGCTGGGCATGGTGGTACACGTACCTTTAATCCCAGCATTTGAAGGGCAGAGGCAAGTGGATCTCTGTGAGTTCCCAGCCAGTTGGGCATACCAAGTGCCTGACAGGCTATCACTAGGTAGCCCAGGCTGGCTTGGAATCTATGTGACCCAGATTTGCCCCAAACTTGTGACCCTCCTGTCTATACCCCCAAAGGTGCTACAATTACAGGTGTGTGCTATAACATCTGGTTTGCCATTCTTTAAAACATTTTTTTTGTTTTTGTTTTTCTTTTAAAACACATATACAATAAAATAAATGAATGTTTATGGATGTCACCAAGAACAAAAACACAAGAAATTCTTACAGAGTTGGAGGATGTAGCTCAGTGGTAAGATACTTGTCTAGCACACACAAGGCACTGGGTTTTTCCCTCTGAGCAGCAAAAGGGAAAAAGGAGAAGTGGAATCCAAACTTACCTAAAGGCTTACTCTCTGTTGTTTGCTCAAGTTCCCTGAATGCACTGTATTTATCACCAGACTCTACGAGAGAGACAGAAACTCATTACAGTGAGGAACCCGGAGACCACAGCCAGAGAAGCCTGGCAGACTGGGCTGAGCAAACATATTTAACTGTGGAACAGCACCTGATACATTCAATAACAAGCCTGCCACTTCAAGATTTATACAACTTCATTAAAAGTTACGGCCACAGATTTATCAACTGATGAACTGCCTTTACCTCCAAATGCAGCAGGGTTTTCAGAGGGCTTGTCAGCAGAAATTCCTTTAAACACTGAGTATTTGTCTGTGGAGGCTTTGGTTCCAGAAAGTGGCGTCAGCAGTGATGGAGCACTGTAAGGGAGGAGGAAATTATTGATCAGACCAATGAATCCTCCCTCCTCACCATATGGGGCTGAGGACACAGCCAGAGGCCACAGTTCTCTGCCCTTCCTTTCTTTTCTTTTCTTTTCTTTTTTTTTTTTTTTTTTTAAGACAGGTTTCTCTGTGTACCCCTGGCTGTCCTGGAACTCACTCTGTAGACCAGGCTGGCCTTAAACTAGGAGATCCACCTGCCTGTGCTTCTCAAGTCCGAGATTAAAGCCGTGAGCCACCACCTGGGTCTCTTTCTTTTAAAAAAAAGTTTAAAAATTACTTATGCATGTCAGGCATATCTCTGTGATTTCAAGGCCAGCTTGGTCTACATGGTGAGTTCCAGGACATCCAGAGCTACACAGTGAGACCTGTCTCACAAACAAACAAAATGTGCATGTCTGTGTGTATGTCACGTGTGTTCAGGTACACCTAGAGGCCAGAAGAGGGCACGGGACCCCAGGAGCTGTTGTTGTTTCAAGCAGATATGAGCTGCCTGACATGGTGCTGGGAGTGGAACTTATCCTGGCGTGAGCTGTCTTCATTCTGTGAGGCAGACAGACTACCTGGGAAAGACCACAGACAGAAACACAGAGGGAGCTAAGGAAAACAACAAACAAACTCCAAACTGCTTTACTGAAGCAGGCTGACATCGGTGGGGATGGGAGGGAAACAGAGCTAAGCACCCTAGGGGTGGGGACTCAGGGCTAGGCACCTTCTAAGACCCTTAGTCCTTCCGTTTTCTCACCCTTTCACCCAGATGTCTGTCCTGGGCAGGCCTCTCCTTCCCTGCTGCCCTTCCCGTGAGAAAGGAAGTGTTCTCCCAGCTCTCCCTTACTGCGGAAGAGCAGCTAGCCTCTCAACTGTAACCACCGAGTCATCTCTCCAGCCCTTGCTACCATTAAAGAACAAACCAACACCCCCAAACAGCTGGTGATAGTTCAGTGGATAAAGGTTCCATGCTGGGATCTATGTGGTGGAAGGAGAGAAGTGACCCCCAAAAGTAGTCCTTTGACCTCCATATGCATACTGTGGCACTTAAGCACCACCTGCCACCTCACAAAAACTAAAGAATGCCACTTTTTTTTTTTTTTTAAGGAGAGAGACAGTGTCTCATGTATCCTTCATGTAGTTGAGGAAGACATTGAACTCCTGACCCTCTGGCTTCTACCTCCTGAATGCTGGGACTGCAGTAGTGTGATCTGGGTTGAATCCAGGGCTTTTGCATGTAGGCTGCCGACTGGGCTGTGTCCTCAGCCCTGTGGCTCTCTGCTCCAAAAGTTGGGAACTCCACAAATGACTAAAAGCATTGGCCCTTTTCTTGAAAATAAACACTGACACTCAAGTACTAATTGTTCTGACTGAGGGGGCGACATCAACACCAATGGTCTAAGTGTCTGTTTAAATCATAAAGACACTGAAAATAGATCATCAAAAACCCACAACCCTGAGGCTGGAGAGATGGCTCAGAGTTAAGAGCACTGGCTGTTTTTCCAGAGCACCCGGGTTCAATTCCCAGCACCCACATGGCAGCTCACAACTGTCTTAACTCCAGTCCCAGGGGATCTAACACCCTCAAATAGACACACACGCAGGCAAAACACTAGTCAATGCTCATTAAAGAAAAAGAACAACCACCTGTTGCCATTTTAACTTACAGTTTGCAATAATTTAATAGTGAATTCCACCAAATATGTATGTTTAATAATGAAAGATAAAATATAACCTAAGACTTCGCTAAAATGGGTTCAGGTTGTAAAAATCTATTTGTAAAATGTTGTTTAAGCCAAGACGTAAATTCTGCTTTTGATAATTTCGAGGAAGACATCTGATAAGCAACCACAGAGGTAAGAGAATGCACATTTTTTACAAGGATCACACCAGTGGTCCCAGAGAGCTATCTTTGTAGCAAAACAACAATCACTTCAAAATTAGATGAAGATAGTTTTATCTGTGGACATTTTTTTTTTTTTTTTGCTGGATGGAAAAATAGTATAACGAGCAGCATCTGTGTGGGCAGTTCTTGGAAAGCTTCAATACACTATAGAAGCATTGCTTTGTTTCTCTTATCAGACTCAGGCAGTTCCCTGGAAGAACAACCTTTACATATGAATGACTGCATTCCACCAGCAGCTAGTGTCATTCAATACCACAGCACAAGATATAGAGAAATGGATTTCTATTGAGGTCTCTGCCCAGGAGCAAAAGCCTTTCCACAGTCATTTAAATCTTCTTATCAGTGGCCTACAACCAAGGCAAAAGCCAGGCTGTCCTACATGCATGGTAATGGGGTCCATGGTGTTTCAAGACTTACGGGCATTGAATATTAAAATTTCACTTCATTGCCACACAGCTGCTACTATATGATCTTAACAAATGTAATAGCTTATCATCTATACATGTAGGTGGCTGCTTTTACAGTTCCATAAATAATTAAACACTAGCTCATTGACCAGAGTGTTACATAGGAGCCCAGGTAATTGGTGTTTAAGGACAAGAGCCCAGGAAGCTGGATGACCTGCCTGCTTTTCATAACCCTCCGATTTTAGCTATGTTTTTTTTTAAAGCTCAGTGGCAAAATCTTTCTACTAAATGTGGCATTAATTGAATGTAATTAATTTTAAAATTATATTCACAGGATTGGACAAAAAGAGACTCTGCAGGGTAATGAAATAGCACTGATGAAAATCAACGGAATTCAGTTCCTTCCAGAAAGTTGACACACACTAATTACATGCACACCACAAATCAGTGTTTCATTCCAGTCCCTTCTCTGGAGCTATTATTTTTTAAAAGAAGGCTGTAATCACCATCAGAGTGTTTATGCCAGTTATATATAGCAGTTATTATCTGTTTTATACATGAAAACAGTCATTTCTGTTCTTGAAGGGAGGTACTCAAGTGAGAGGACCACATTGTTTTAAAATGTAAGAAGAATCTGCATTCCATTGAAAGGTAAGACTGGGAACTCGGTCATCAAAGCACACATTTTGCTTCCCCCAGAGAATCTACTTCCAAATGGCTGTGGCAGATGGTAGAAAGAAGAGACCACCATTCCAACTGAAGTGTCTGGACAAGGTCAACTTCACTCCCCATCATGAGGATGTGCTCTGAAGAGCAAACACACAGGCTGGAAGTGCATTTGGTTTTTATTCTAACGTGCATGGTGACTGTATCTCTTCCTCAATGGTTGGGGTCTGACTGCACAGTCTTAATTTAATTGGCTAGTCTGTAAAGAATTGGAGCTAGCAAAGAAATGAAGGAAAGGGAGAAGGGTCACTGCTCTAGGCATTCAAATTCCTGGATTAGAGCAGTGGATCTTTGCATAAACAAACGTTTGACTGGCTGGTGATAGTGGTGGTAGGGATTAAAATATTTTGCATCTAAGTTTTACAAAGGGCTAAAAAGAGTTGAATTCCTTGTCCCAAACACAAATGTTATACTATGTGATAGAAAGGACTCCTTGTAGTAAAATGTTATTTTAAAAATGTGTTACTTTTATTTATGTTGCATTTGTTTAACTCTGTGAAGCCCAGTTACTGTGCCTGTGTAAAACACCTGGTGGTTTCATCAAGAACTGAACGGCCAATAGCAAAGCAGGAGAAAGGATAGGCGGGGCTGGCAGACAGAGAGAATATATAGAAGGAGAAAACTGGGAGGAGGGAGCTAAGATCTAGGAGCCAGAGAAGGAGGAGAACTCCACAGGCCAGCCACCCAGCTACACTGCAAGCCAGGGAGAAAGAGTAAGATTTACAGAAGAGGACGGGAAAAGCCCAGAGGCAAAAAGACAGAGGGCACAATTTAAGTTGAGCTGGCAAGAAAAAAGCCAAGCTAAGGCCAGGCATTCATAACTAAGAATAAGCCTCCGGGTGTGATTTATTTGGTAGCTGGGTGGTGTCCTCCCAGCCCCCCCTACCCCCAGCAAAAACCTCTAACCACTCCTATTCACTATTTCTTCCACAGACAGCTTTGCTCACTCTGCCAAATATAAAAGTTTATAAGAAGTGCTTAGAGTACAGTGTGGTGGTGTACACCTTTAATCCCAACACTTGAGAGGCAGAGGCAGGCAGATCTCTGCAAGTTTGAGGACAGCCTGGTCTATTTAGTGAATTTCAGGACAGGGAGGGCTATGTAATATAGAAACCCTGTTTCAACAAACAACCAACAGTAAACAAAAACAAAGAAAGGCTTAGTTCTCAGCAAAATGAAACAAACGAAGCAGCCCCCCAAGTCCTGGTACTTCAACTTTGTAACGACTTTCTGCCTTAGAGTCCCCTCTGCCCGAATGGCTCCCCTGGTCACCCTTCCCCGAGTGTCTTCTGAACACTGGATGTTGGTGCTTTCATGCCTGGGGATGCTCTCTCTTTTTTCACATCAGGACTGAGTTGGACCGGGGTGTGAGGAACACAGTACTTCCCTGCTGTCGCTCTCTGGGCTCCCAGCAGTAAGGGGGTCCCCACATGGCAGCAAAAGCCCTTCTTGAAGCCATTTCTTATTCTGAAGATGCTGTACAGATTAGACCAGAGGTCACAAGGCTTCCCACAACAAGGGCTGTCCTTAACTGCAGTGCTCTTCTCACTAACAGTGTTCTTTGTCTCTAGCTAGCAAGAAGCCTAAGCCAGTAGGCCATACAGTTCGTAATTAAAAAACAACAACAAAAAATAGTGTTCTTTGTTGGGCACGCCGCTCTACTGTAGAAAGCTTCTTCATTCTGGTTAAACACAGCAACTGCAGGAACTGAAGTAATTTGGCACTCAGAACTAAAGCAACTTTCTGTTCTAGAATCTTGCCCTCTCCACCCGTCAACCCTCCAGTAATGGTGGCCACAGAGATGGTTATAGATTGCCTAATATTCTTTTACACACCAAGCACCTATTTCCTCAGCTATTCCTAACAACAGGCCCCCCAAAGGGGAAATTTTAGTCCCCTTCTGCCTCTCCCTTTCTGCCCCATAACTGCTCCAGCCTGTAAGTGGTGGCAGACTCTCTGGTTTCTGTTGTTGTTCTTGTTTTTTGTTTTCAAGACAGGGTTTCTCTATATAGCTTTGGAGCCTGTCCTGGATCTCGCTCTGTAGACCAGGCTGGACTTGAACTCACAAAGATTCGCCTGGCTCTGCCTCCGTGCTGGGATTAAAGGTGTGCACCACCACCACCTGGCCTCTCTGGTTTCTTGGACTAGAGAGGTTCCCTCCATAGGCCTCTTCCTGAATAAAGTTGGTGTCGTGGTAGTCATTTGTTCCCTTGTCTGTCTGTCCTTCTCTGACCTTACACTCTCTACCCGTCTACCTCTAAACCCTTGTCTTGTCATCTTTTCTGACAAATAATGCCCATTTCCTTCTTGTAGACACTGACCAAGGGAGGTTCTCTAGGCTTAGTTATTCATATTATGACTGCTTTTCAAATAAATTCACAATACAGAATATGGATTATCATATTCTAGAGAATTCCCATACAGATGTCTCCAGTATGATCAGTGTAGTATTTGCATGTAATCCCCTCAAATTCTCTGAACACCTAAAATCAGTCTCCTGAGTTACAGTACCTAACATTGTAAAGGCTGTGCACATAGTCAGTGAGAGTATTGTCTAGAGATAAAGACACCAAACTTTGTGCATTTTCAGTAGACACATGATTTTTTCCTAAATATTTTCCAATTTCAGCTGTCTGAATCTGAGGATTCAGCAGACATGTAATTCACACTGAGTCGTGAGCACTTTAAAGGACAAGCACCCAGATCAAACTGAGCTTTGATGCAGCAGCAACTGGGAACTGTGGTCTGTATTTCTTGTGTTTCACCCCAGCATCTGGTATAAAGTAGCTGCTAAGTAAACACATGCTGAATGAATATCTGAGCACAAGTGCAGACTTTTAGACAAGAGAAAGCTATTTCATTGAAGGAAAGCATGGAAGAGGTGAATCAATCTGTAAACGGCACATTGGCAGCTGTGTGTGAGGGGAAATGATGTGAAGACCAGGCTGCAAACAGTGCCGGCAGCAGCTGGACAGGGTGCTCCTTCACACTTAGGGAGGCAGAGGCAGGAGAAGAGTTATGAGTTCAAGCCTGGGCTGGTTTACCCAGCGAGTTCCAGGCCAGCCAGGACTGTATAGCAAAAATCCTTTCTCAAAAACAAACAAACAAACAAACAAACACCAAACCAGATTATTTATTTGTTACGAGCACTTCCTGCTTTTCCAGAGGACCCAACTGTCAGGCAGCTCACAACCACCTGTGGTTCAGTGCCAGGGGATCTAACGCTCTCTTCTGGCCTCCTTGGGTACCTGCATACATGACATACATTCACACACACACACACACACACACACACACACACACTTAAAAAAAAGAAAAGAAAAGAAAAACAGCAACAACACACCAAACAAGTAGCCAATAAACAAAGAAAATACCCAAAATAAAAATAAAAACTTATCAAAAGCTCATACATCTCAGGTCTGGCTATCATCTTAAAACTTTTACCCACAAATTTTGACTTAATATACTGAAAGACCTTTCCCCCAGGGAATGAACCACCCACTTGATGGACTCAGTTTATAGTCCACATACAATAATATAATCATTTAACAATTATATATGGACTAAGCACTCCTGGGGTGAAACATGAGAAATACAGGCCGATACAAATAGTAGGAAAGGAGGGATGAGTTATCATCTCAGAGGCATGGGCTGCTGGAGGAGTTAGAAAATCATTTTTCATTTTTTAAAGACAAGGTTTCTCTGTGTTGCCCAGGCTGTCCTGGAACTCACTATATAGACCAGGCTGATCTCGCACCTGGAGATCCACCTGCCTCTGCCTCTCAAGTGCTGGGATTAAAGGCATGCTCCACCGCCAGCTAGCTTGAAATAACTTTTGAATTAACTCTAGAGAGACCAACAAGGTAAGATTTTCCAGGTTGAGGGATGGAGAAAGTACAAATGCTGGAAAGCTTACACGGGACTAGAGAGAAGCAAGTCGCTCTGGCAGGCTGGAGTGTGGGCTGCATGACAATGGAGTAGCAAGATCACCACAGCAGGCAAAGCTGGTGAGAAAGAGAGAGGACACACACTGGTGTCTGGGTGTGGTGATATCATGGGCCAAGGAAGATTAGTAATGGGGATGTAACAAATATTTGTCTGTCAGTAAGAAATTAATTTAATTTTATGCAGTAAATTTGAGATGTCTTGCCTGAGTCATTCAGATAGGAACACCTAGATTGTATGTGTAAATTTTGTTTGAAGGAAGAGATCTGGATAGACATGTGATGTAATGCTTTGTCTAGGAGATGTATGATAGACATGCTGGCATCATAGTACTAGACACTACATGATGCTTACATATGTTTGGTGTATGTTTTTGTTGTTTTTGGAGACAGGGCCTCACATCATAGCCCAGACTGCCTTCTTACTCATGGCCCATCTCTTCCTCAGCTTCCTAAATTGGGATTATAGGTGTGAGCTACTATGTCCAATTGTGTATGATATATTCTTTTTTCCCCTTTTTTGGTTTTTTGAGGCAGGGTTTCTCTGTGCAGACCAGGCTGTCCTGGAACTCACAGAGATCCACCTGCCTTGCCTCCTGAGTGTCAGGATTAAAGGTGTATGTCACCACTGCCTAGCTTGTATGATACATTCTTTTTTTTTTTAAGATTTATTTATTTATTATGTATACAATGTTCTGCCTACATGTATGCCTGCCGGCCAGAAGAGGGCACCAGATCTCATTATTGATGGTTGTGGGAATTGAACTCAGGACCTCTGGAAGAGCAGTCGGTGCTCTTAACCTCTGAGCCATCTCTCCAGCCCGTATGATACATTCTTATACTCAGAAGAATAATTATAATCCAGAGCCCTGAATTATGACTTTCATTGAAAATCAGGAGTACATCACACTACTAAAAAGTACAAAATTACATGTTCCTGCTTTAAACTCTTTTCAACAACTGAAGACTGGATCTAATGAAAGAACTCAAAGCCACTGGGGCACAAGCACTAAGCAGTCACAGTCAGAGTCCATCTGTCCATCCGTCCTTCCTCCCTCCCTTTCTCTCTCCCTCCTACCGTCCCTCCCTCCCCTGCCTTCCCTGCTTCTTTCTTACCTCCTTTTTAGATACTGTTTCTCTATGTAGCCATGGCTGTCCTGAAACTCACTAAGCAGAACAGGCTGGCCTTGAACTCACAATGATCTACCTGCCTCTACCTTCCTTAAAGGGGTACATCACCACACCCAGCCCCAATAGCTAGGCAGGATTTCCAGTATTTCGGGAGGCAGAGGCAGGTAGATCTCTGTGAGTTCGAGGCCAGCCTGGTCTACATAGTGAGTTTCAGGAAAGGCACAAAACTACACAGAGAAACCCTGTCTTGAAAAACCAAAAAAAAAAAAACCTAGTTAAAAACAAGCCTAAGCTATCAACCGAGCCTTCATAATAAGAAGTCTCTGTGTCATGATTTGGGAACTGGCTGGTGGGACAGAGAAAGACTGGATACACCAAAGTTCAAGGTGGCACAGAGCACAGCATCAGAGAATAACAATATGAAGGCAGAGGATGGCCAGGAACATGAGAGAAATCGGGCTGGGCGGTAGTGGCGCACGCCTTTAATTCCAGCACTCGGGAGGCAGAGCCAGGCGGATCTCTGTGAGTTCCAGGCCAGCCTGGGCTACCAAGTGAGTTCCAGGAAAGGTGTAAAGCTACACAGAGAAACCCTGTCTCGGAAAAAATAAAAATAAAGAGAGAGAGAGAGAGAGAGAGAGAGAGAGAGAGAGAGAGAGAGAGAGAGAAACCGGTAGATAACTGTTCTTTGGACAGGACATTTGTTGTTTTCAGGCTTCTTCTTCTTCTTCTTCTTCTTCTTCTTCTTCTTCTTCTTTGTTTTTGTTTTTTGTTTTTCAAAACAGGGTTTCTCTGTGCAGTTTTTGGTGCCTGTCCTGGATCTCACTATGTAGACCAGGCTGGCCTTGAACTCACAGAGATCTGCCTGGCTCTGCCTCCCAAGTGCTGGGATTAAACACGTGTGCCACCGCTGCCCAGCTGTTTTCAGGCTTCTTATATCATTTCCCTAATGATAAAATGCAATGTTAAATATATTCAACACGTTTCTACCTGTTTCCATGCTGGGAATTACTTGTTTTTGAGGAAGCAGACACCTCTTGGAAGTCAGTGAAAGAATCATCAAGGGATCCTGACTTGGAAGCATCTTGAAAATCCTGGAAGTCATCTTCTTCTGTCTTTCCCACCTAGATTTAGAAGGTATCTTAGAGTTAGGGTTACTACTGCTGTGATGAAACACCATGATCAAATCAACTTAGGGAGGAAAGGGTTTATTTGGCTTATACTTTCATAACATTGCTTATTATCAAAGGAAATCAGGACAGGAACTCAAACGGCAGGATCCTGGAGGCAGCAGCTGATGCAGACCATGGAGGGGTGCTGCTTATTGGCTTGCTCCTCATGGCTTGCTCAGACTGCTATCTTATAGAACCCAGGACCACCAGCCCAGGGATAACCCCACCCACAATGGGTTGAGCCCTCCCCTATCAATCACTAATGTCCTATAACCAGATCTTATGGAGGCATTTTCTCAATTGAGGTTCCTTCTTTCAAGTAACTCTAGTCTGTGTCAAGTTGACATAAACCTACCCAACACATTTGACCTCTTGTTACCTTGACACACAAACACATCACCGTTAAGCCAAAACCTTTCCTTTCTTGTTTTCCCCCAAGATCACACATTACTATCAATGTTACAATATAAAATTCTAAATTTTAAAAGTCCCAGTCTTTAAAAATGTAGTCTCTTTAAAACAGTCTGTCTCTTTTAAAATCTAACAGACTTTTTTTTAAAATTCAAAGTCTGTCAACTGTGAGCTCCTGTAAAATGAAAAATAAATGATTTTTTTTTTTATGGTTTTTTTGAGACAGGGTTCCTCTGTGTAGTTTTGGTGCCTGTCCTGGATCTCACTCTGTAGACCCGGCTGGCCTCGAACTCACAGAGATCCACCTGGCTCTGCCTCCCGAGTGCTAGAATTAAAGGCGTGTGCCACCCCCCCGCCCGGCATGAAATACTTTCTTACTTCAAGAGAGAAGAACCAGGGCACAGTCACATTCTGAACCAAGCAAAACTGAACTTCAACAGTGTAAATAATTCAATGTCCAATTATCTGGGATTTACTCTAAGGGGCGTGGGTCACTTCTCCGGTTCTGCCCTCTGCAGCTCACAAAGCTTGTCTTCTACTTTCAGGCTGGCTCCACTCCACTGCTGCTGCTGTTCTTGGTGGTCATTCCATGCACACTGGTATCTCCAAAACTGCTGAGGTACTTTGCTGCAACTGGGCTGCCCTTTCACCAACAGCCTCTCCTGGGCTCTCTTCAGGGACTCCAGCCCTACCACATAGTGCCAAGCCTCAGCTGCTTTCCATAACCCCTTCACACATTCAAAACCAGCACCACCTGGGTGACTCTTACATTTACAAAATCAGCTGCCAGCACAAGGTACAACCTTGGCCATGACTGGAACAGTGTGCACTGCCTCTCTGGAAACACTTTCCAGAGGACTTCATTTCAATGATGCTTTTGTTTTGTTTTTCAAGACAAGGCTTCTGTGTAGCTCTGGCTGCCTTGGAACTCGCTCTGTAGACCAGGCTGGCTTTAATCTCACAGAGATCTGCCTGCCTCTGCCTCCCGAGTGCTGGAATTAAAGGCGTGCGCCACCAGCACCTGGCTTCAATGATGTTTCTTAATCACAGCAGATCCTTCAGCTCCAGCTGACCATTCACTAGCAGATTCTTCACACAAAAGGCCCAGTAGTCTTTGCTTCCTTTGAAACTTCACAAGCCAGGCCTCCACCAGCTGCACTACTCTTAACATTCTTATCTCCCAGGCTCCCACACAACAGCTCACTGAGCTCTCAGCCCTCAATGGCTTTTCTAGTCCAAAGTTCCAAAGTCATCTAAAATCCTCCCCAAAACAACATGACCAGGTCTGTCATAGCAATACCCCAAGACCCTGGTACCAACTTGTCTTAGGGTTACTATTGCTGTGATGAAACACCCTGAGCAAAGTAACTTGGAAAGGAAAGGGTTTATTCAGCTTACACTTCCATATCACTGTTCATCACTGAAGGAAGTCAGGACCAGAACTCAACAGGGCAGGAACCTGGAGGCAGGAGCTGACACAGAGGCAATGGAATGGGTGCCAAGCCACTGGCTGGCTCCTCATGGCTTGCTCAGTCTGCTTTCTCATAGAACCCAAGTCCACCAGCCCACGGATGGCACCACCCACAATGGGCTGAGCCCTCCCATATCAATCACTAATTAAGGAAATGTCCTATAGCCAGATCTAATGGAGGCATTTTCTCAATTGGAGCCTTTCAGATAACTCTAGTTTGTGTCAAATTGACATAAAACTAGCCAGTACAGAAAGGATATTTACATAGGGAACACGAGATTGTCAAAGCAAATAACTCCTCTCTAAGCAGCAATCTCAGAGATTATCATTTAATTGCTCAATTTTGTTACAACTACCTAATTTCATAATGAAGTGTGTGTATGTATATGCACATATGCTGTGCTTGAAGTGAACACAGGGTCTGTGCACATTAGGCAAGTGCTCTACCACTGAGCATCTAGCTCCAGGCAAGAACATAATTGAGATATAACGATGGAAGTACTTAAGGCAAGAATTCTGTTTCATATTTTAAAGTATTCTCTGGCATAAATGTAAAGAGATTGGCCTAAATAGCTAACCTCTGAATTTTTTAAAGCAGCTGGATTACATTTGTTGGGTTGCTGACAACAAAATGATGCTAACAGCAATGTTTGTGAACAGACACGCCATGAGCCCCTCATAAGCAGTCATACACATGCATAAAGCAAACCCTGGCTCCTAGGCCAACACTCAGAGCAGCAGCAGACCGTTCATGGTCCATTTACTTTATGTAACAAGCTCACGCTACACTGTTCAGTACTTAAGAAATGTAATTACACAACAGGGTCATCTTTCCATGCATAAATGCAGATCTATTTTGATAATTTTGACGATTACTTCCCACTCTATGGAGCAACAGGAATCCATTGGACATTTTCTTCACGATGAGCAGTACATTTTATTCTAACAAGCAGTGGTACTGTTGACATCCTGTGCATTTCTGCTAATTTCAGTTAGCATCTCTGAAGACATGGACATGTTTTCAGTTATGCCAACAGACCTACAGGATTAGTCACTCTTCCCTACATGTTCATTGACATTAAATATCTGTGCATTAAAAATATTGGTTTGCTAATTCGAGAAGTGAAATTTTTACATTTCTCTCTCTCTTTTTTTTGGAGACAGGATCTCACCATGTATGTATACTGGCTGGTTTTGTGTGTCAACTTGACACAAGGTAGAGTCATCAGAGAGGAAGGAATGTCAGTTGAGGAAATGCCTCCATGAGATCCAGCAGCTGTAAGGCATTTTCTCAACTGGTAATCAGTGGGGGAGGGCTCAGGTTATTGTGGGTGCTGCCATCCCTGGGCTGGTGGTCTTGAATTTTATAAGAAAGCAGGCTGAGCAAGTCACGTGGAGCAAATCAGTAAGCAGCACCCCTCCATCCATGGTCTCTGAATCAGTTCTTGCCTCCAGAATCTTGTCCTATTTGAGTTCCTGATCTGGCTTCCTTCAATAGTGAATAGCAATATGGAAATGTAAACCAGTTTTGGAGCCTGTCCTGGAACTCACTCTGTAGACCAGGCTGGCCTTGAACTCACAGAGATCCACCTGCCTCTCTGTCTTCTGAGTGCTGAGATTAAAGGCATGAGCCACCACTGCCCGGCCCCAGCTTGCTTTTTGATCATAGTGTTTTGTCACAGCAATAGAAACCCTAAGACACCATGTAGTCCTGGCCTGAAACTTTCTATGTAAACCAGAAGACCTCAAACTCAGAGATCCTCTGCCTCATGAGCTGAAATCAAAGGTGTGGACTACCACATCTGACCTTAAATCTCTGTCTCTCAGTCCTGTGTGTGTGTGTGTGTGTGTGTGTGTGTGTGTGTGTGTGTGTATGTGTGTGTGTGTATACATGTGCAGAAGACCAGAGATTGGTATCATGTGTTCCTTAACTGCCTTCCATTGAAGCAAATACCTTAATTCTCAACAAATATTTTGTGTATTTAAAGAATAATTAAAAATAAACAATTAAATTTTGTATTATTTTTACTTAAAAATTACTTTATTTCTTGCAGAGCTGGGGTCAAATTTAGGACCTTGAGCATCCTAGGTGAGAGCTCATTGATGAACCACATCTCTGTCTCCACACCACTTAATTTTCACATCAAGTGCCCACTATAACACAGCAGACTAACTCTCTGGAAGCCAAGCTGCCCACATTCACTTCTAGGAATGATCTAGCACACACAAGGCTTCTCCACTTACCTGGTTTGAGGGGTAGGCTGGCATGAATCCACTAGAAGTTGGAGCTGCAGCTCCACCCACTGGTCCAACAAGGTTAATGCCCATGATGGGCTGTCCAAGGCTGAGGGGCATGGAGCCTGCAGGGACAGCGGGCATCGCAGTCGGCTGGCTCCCTGGGGTAGGTAGAGCCATAGGAAAGCCGCTTAAGGTAGGAATGGGAGCCGCTGGGAACTGGTTCAAAGCATCAGGGCTCATGGCAGGAACACCCCTCTAAGGAACACCAGGAAACGGAAACATTTTAGGTGACTGCAGACCATACTCCAAATCTGTGCAAGAGAGACCTACACGTAGCTTTCTTGTTGTTTCTCTGTCTGATTCCTCAAATACATGAATCTGATACCCAGAGAAAAGTAAAAAGGTCAATACTGCAGGTTCCACTACTACCCTATACTTGTAAGGATGTAATTATACAAGGCCATCCTTGTGGACCTATTTATTTCATCCAAACTATCCTCACTTAAAAATCCAATGCTAATACTCAGATATGCCAGCACATATCAGCTGTGACATTTTCTGTCTGATAAGTTTGGCTAATTTGCTAAAATCAAGTAACTTTAGCTAATTCCAAAATATAAGAAACGTTGTTACCAAGCTAAATATACTTTAAGGAATTCTAAACAATGGCAGAAATTGATTTCATCAGTTACTTCATTTTCAAACAAAGGAATAACTTACTAGGATGTACATTATATGGACTATACACTTTTGAAACTTTATCACATATGAGCTAAATTTTAATGTACAAGGAGATCTACAAGGCAGTAGTGAAAGGAGGTTCACACTCTTTCAATCTGTAGTAACAACACACTTGTTCTAACACAAGATACGTAGTCTACCTGTGTTACTGCTACCATGGCGAGAACAGTATAAAGCTCTTCCTTAGTAAGTTTGCCAGGTGTAGTCCGATTGGCTAGAGCCCATATCTGTCCGAGAGTTTCCCTGGGAAGTCCAGATGACATCAGAATGGGATAAAGTTTAGCAGTATCTATTCCAGTTGGAGTCATTGTGGTTTCTAAAATTTTCTTATAGGCATCTATTAAAAGAAAGACCAGATGACAAATGCAAACACATTGCAGGTGACTGACTCTGTTGTTGCCATTGTTGGTATAAAGGAATAATCTTAAGTCAAATTGCTTTAATTTAGTTGGCATCTGGCTCAGTGGGGAAAGGCACCTGCTGCCAAACCTGATGACCTGAGTTCAATCCTTGGGGACCCACAAGGTGGAAGGAGAGGACTGACTCCCACAGGCTGTCCTCTGAGTTCCCAAGACTTGACTAGGAGAGGACGCGTGCATGTGTATGGAGGAGAATGAAGGGAAGGATAAACTATCAGAAAAAGGACAGGACTAAAAAATACACTAAGATCTCATTTCTGTAGGGTTGAAGAAAGGAAAGCGGAGAGATTCAAAATGGTCTGGGAGAGTATCTAGCCTTTGATTTATGGTTGTATGATTACAATAAAAAGCAGACATTACCAATTTCTCCAAGGAAGAAATTCTTCTGTAGAGATCTTGCATCAAGGTTGATTTACTCAAGTGGAGAACAACTTTTGTCTGTACTGACCTTGAGCGCTGATGAGCTAGTGGACATTACCTCCAGCTTGCAGGGCGCTGAGCAGCAAACCAAGCAGCCATGACATACTAACCCCAGCATCTGCTGCTGAAATTGTATCTGTGTCTATTGATCGTGGCTTAAATATACCATCGTGTGGTATCTACCAAGGACTACCACACAATCCATTTTAGTCATTTCCTCAACTCAGCAATAATACTACACATAAAAACAAACACCACTTTCCAATGTAGAAAATGATGCTACCTAATCTTTCATTTCATAGTTTCATAGGACAATCAGAAAAAATTTTTTAAATATAATTCTTATGAATTGAGAAAGTATTACACATACTAGAGTGATTCTTTTAAAAAGCTATTTTTAAAACTTTTATGTGTATGGGTGTTTTGCCTGAATGAAAATCTGTGCACTACATGTGTGCCTGGTATCTGCCGAGGCCAGGAGAGGGTGTCTGATGCCCTGGAACTGAAATGTAGTGAATCATTATGTGGGTGCTGGGACTTGAACCCAGGTCTTTTGGAAGAGCAGCGTGCTCTTAACCACTGAGCCATCTCTTCAGCCCCAATACCATGATTCTTGATAGGTTATTATTAATAATCTTTGAAATAAGTATCTGATAATATCATCATTTAAAACACAACAATCCTAACTGCTGGCCTTTGCACCACGAACCATCTTGCCACTCTCAATAAAGCAGTTTTTTTTTTTTTTTTTTTTTTTTTGAGACAGGCTCTCACTGTGTAGCCCTGGCTGTCGTAGAACGCACAGAGAACCCCTCTGCCTACTAAGTGCTGAGAGTAAAGGCGTGCATCACCATGCCCAGCCCATAAAACAGTCTTAAACATGAGGTTTATTTAGTTTGCTATCCGCCTGCAGAAAATAACTATAAGCAACAACTCCTTCTGCATATTTTATAACCACGACAGTAAATATTTAATCCCTCTATAATATTTAAAGTAAAATATCTAGAGAAAAATGTTGGGCAAAGCAGCTTTACTTTACCTGGAACCAAACTCTCATTGTAAATCCAAGGAGGCATTCTGGGCTGAACAGGATCCTGAGAGGGAAACACACCCACACCTAGAAGGTAAGGATGGTTAATGTACACATGACCTGGAGAAGAGAAAAGCCACTGCTCTTCACAAAGAGGAGCACTGGCTGGAGTCACTAGAAAAAAGTCACCAATATAATAAAAATAATAAAGTAATATAAAAGTTTCCAACAACTCTTGTACAGTAACTATGTATTAAAATGTAGAGTACAAGGTACCAAATCAATCATCTGGGACACAGGAGTCAAGCACCATTAAATGTGTTTGACAAGTTTAGGAAAAACACAATAGTTTAATGGCTTAGAATTACATGTATAAAACATCCTCCTGGGGTTTGTCTCCAGGGTTGCCCACAACCTGATTCATCTCCACAGTTAAAATTTGGATTCAGCTTTTGTGTTTTGGGCACGGGACCCAGGGCCATGTGGGTGCTGAGTGCACGTGCCGCTGCAGCCCGAAGACCTGTGCTGTGGGCTCAAGCCCGGGGCCTTGAGTGTGTGAATCTGGATCTTTCAGGCAGCAGCACATACAATTTAGTTCAGAGAGGAAAACTGCATTTTCATTGGTGACTTTTTCAGTTACAGCTAAACTTTTTACCTTTTACGGAAAACCAGAAAGCATGAGGGGAATCAAAAGGGAACTGTTGTAAAATGAGAGGAAATTTTAGACCAGGAGTGATTCTGATTAAGAAACAGGGTTATCAAAATCATTTGAAAAGGAGTAATACAGTGTGTTCAAAGAATTCAGAGCAAAATCTTAGGGGTTAATTGGAGATACGATTACATAAATGTTTTTTTAAGCAAAATTTGAATTAGCACAATCAAGCAGCATCCATTTTAAGATTAATGCTGAAAGTGTTAGCTTCTGAGCGGCAGTTGGTTAAACAAAGTTCGTGCTGAATGTGCAGGAGCTCACCACTCTCTCCGTTTGACAGGTTTTGGTCTGAAGTCTTTTCTGCCTGGGCAGTGGTGGGACCACTTACACATCCATCTACAGCACCCCTGTTACGGGCCACTAAACCGGGACAGTCCTTACTGGAACCTGGGACTACGGCTTTGTGCCCAGCTTCAGGAGTGTTTAATTTAATTTGTTCCTGCCCAGATGTACTTATATCACAAGATACTAGGAGCTTCTCTTCCAAGGAAGGGCCTAAACAAACAGCATGAAGGATTACTTGTACGTTACTTGCATATCCCAATCTTTTCATCATCCCTTCCCACCCTCATATTCTCAGGGGAAGAACTCCCACAGAACATGGATTTCGTAATAATTTAATTGTTACCCATTAGTGTAGGACTTGAGAGACTTCAGAGGTTTGGGGGGCTTAAAATAATTACCCTACTCTGGTTCTCAGGGATTCCATGCTGCAGTGGGTAGAATCACGTAGTGGGGAGGAGCACTGCTGTGGAAATTCGGTAAGCCACCAGACACAGACACTCCTCCTAACTAGTGGGAGAGCCTTGTCTGGCCTGTTTCCACATCTGTCAATGACAGTCTTCGAGACCAAGCACAGGTCTCCCAAGACCCTTCCCAGCACACCCTGTCTTTAGATAGACTGTGCCTGCCCCATAATTTCACAAATATAAAAATGGAAGTCCAGAAATGTTTCAAGACTTGTCCAAGGACAAAATATGTCACTGCAGCAAGCCGGCCTCAAAGCTGAGCAGGTCCTGCCCCTCTGTCCGCTTAGTGCTGGGATTCCAGACATGGTCACCATGTCCATCTTAGATGCAGTCCTTTTTTTCTTCTCTCTCCTTTCTTTCTTTTTAAAACAGGGTCTCATATAGCTCAGAGGCTGCCTTGAACTATGTAGCAAAGGATGACCTTGAACTCCTCCTGATTCTTCTGCCTCCATGTCTCAAGGAACGGATTACAGATGTGTGTACCATAGCTGGCTAGAGAGATCACACTTTAAAAGGATCGCTTTACATTTATTTCCTTCTGTGTGTGTGTTGCTGCATATGTGAAAGTGAGAGGACAGCTTGTAGGCGTCACTTCTCTGCTTCCTTCCAGAAGGTGAGTTCTGGGGAGAAACGCAGGTCGTCAGGCTCAGAGGCAAGCACTTACTGCCGAGTCGGCTCACTGGCCCTGAAAGATTGCTTTTTAACGGTGTTCTCCCTAGTGCGTTATTATAACATGATATCAGTGATTTTTTTTTTCCCCAAGCAAAAGCTAATCTGAGGAGGTCAGTTTGCTTTTAAAGTTTTTCGGTGGTTTCACTTGTTTCTAACACAGTGGCAAAAGGTTCTAAATCACTTTTCTGCCAAATGAAGATGCAAAAACTTAATCTAGTCTTGCATAGGTGGCTGTTGAAGGTTCTCATAACTCACATTTGCGTTTCTTTGCCAATAGCACTGTATGATTCTACGTAAGTCAGAGAATTCCATTACCCTAGACTGTCTTCACCCTTAGAGGACTACACTAGTTACTTGCTTTCTGCACACTGTGTGATTCTACGTAAGTCAGAGAAATCCATTACCCTAGACTGTCTTCACCCTTAGAGGATGACACTAGTTACCTGCTTTCTGCACACCGTGTGAAGTTGGAGCGGCAGAGAAACAAGGAGCTTGCCCAGGGCCACCGTGTAAGGCAAAAGACACTGGCACCTGACCTGCAGGGAGAGGCTGTGCTCCAGCCTTCTGTGTGTGCACCTGGCCCAGTGGGGCGGTGGGGAGGAAGGACTGAAAGGGCCGGGCCGTGGAAGAGGGCCCACAAGCGGGGACCTCAATAGGCCCCTGCATAAAGTCACTGAATTCGTCTTCGTCAAGAAAGGCAGGTGATGGGGAGACAGTTTTGGTAGAATGAGATGATGTGGGACAATCTGCAAAATGGAAAATGGCAATGAAACACACAGGAATGAAAACCAAAGAGAGAGAGAGAGAGATCCAGATGTAACACAACCCTCAGAACATCCTGAAATAACAACAGTGAGGTGAGTGAGACCCAACAGTCAAGCGGAACCAGAGTGCTCAGGGAACACTTTGATGTCTGTTTCGTTCTAAAAATAACTACTTTATATCTGGTTAAAAAACAGACAGAGGGGACTGGAGAGATGGCTCAGAGGTTAAGAGCACTGACTGCTCTTCCAGAGGTCCTGAGTTCAATTCCCAGCAACCACATGGTGGCTTACAGCCATCTGTAATGAGATCTGGTGCGCTCTTCTGGCCTTCAGGGATGCTTGTAGGCATGTATACATAATAAATAAATAAATCTTAAAAAAAAAAAAACCAGAATGAACTCGAATTTCATTCTTTCATTTTATTAGGTAGTACTAAATGTGTATCAAAGTGATAATTATTTCTGGAATCCAAGTGGACTGTCTGATACTATTTCTTTTGTTTGTCTATTTGTTTGTTTTTTGAGATAGAGTCTCTCTACTAAGCCCTGGCTGTTCTGGAACTCGCTCTATAGACCAGGCTGGCATCAAACTCTCAGAGATCCGCCTGCCTCTGCCTCCTGAGTGCTGGGATTAAAGGTGTGCACCACTACACTTGGCCTAGACAATCTTACTGAACAAGCAAACATATATGAACAGCTTCTGAACAGCACAACACAACTGATTACTCAACATGTTTCCCTTGCTGCTAACTGCTGACCACAAGTCTGTGCTGACAAGGGAACTCAGTGTGAACACAACGTCAGACCTAACAACGGCCGCTGCTCTCTGCGTTTCTAAGTTCGGTGCCAGGTTCAGTTTTAGTCGTAACTTTCAATGTTTGTAAGCTGATGGGCTCAGCTATGTAGCTCGGGTTGGCCTAGCACTTGCTATGTAAGTATTCTAGGCTAGCCTCAAACTCACAACTCCCCTACCTTAGCCTCTGGGTGCTGAGATGTGCCACCACACTGCCTGAATCACTTCATCACTAGCTTATACAGCTTATAATTTTCAGTTTTTAGATATACTTTTCCTTATCTCAAAATGATTGATAGTATCTATTCGCCTTCCAATTTTAGTGTCTACTTTACTTTGGGCATGATTTTGGTTAGGAATCAAGGTACATAATTGAATCAGTGAAATTAACAGGACAGAGTCAAAGCTGAGCTAGAAAATCAAGAATTACTAACAGGCTGGAGAGATGGCTCAGTGGTTAAGAGCACTTATCACTCTTTCAGAGGACCTGGGTGTGGTTCCTAGCACCCATATCAATTTCACAATAGCCTGTAATTCCAGGTCAGGAGATCTGATGGCTTTGATGGACACCAACACACATACACACATAAATAAAAATAAATACTTAAAAAAATTAATAACAGTGTCAATATTGTTTTCTCCTGATATTAACTTATAAGAGATACTAAAACACAAGGATTTAAGATAAAATTTTTTGATATAATATTTTCCAGCAGAATATAGTACTTTTTGATTTGATGAATGATTTATGAAAATGGTTTGTTTATTAATGGTATATTATTATTGAAAATATTATTATTGAAAATAGCTGGCACAAAAGACTGATAACAAAATGTCAAAATATTTAATTTCAAAGAGATGAAAAAACATTTTGCCGACAATTTCAACTGCTAAGTGTTTAAGTGATAACAAAACAACAAAAAAATCTCTTTACCCTGCTTCTCTAAAAGGCAATTTTATTTAAAACTACAAAGAAATTTACTGAAGAAACTGAACTTTCCTGAGAAGTATTATAGCCATGACTATTTAAAAATGGGGCATTTTGAGAATTTCTAAATTTTTTCACATGAACAATGAAATCTGATCTAGCTTATAGAAGTATACATTTCATAATAATGAAGATGGACTAGTAAACTCACTACATTTCTTTGAGTCAACAGACTTTCTTTTTTCTTTTTTTAAATCAGGGTCTCTCCCGACAGACCAGGCTGGCCTGAAACTCAGAGATCCTCCTAGTTCTGCCTATGAATGCTGGGATTAAAGGTGTGCACCATCATGCCTGGCACAAAAGACTTCCTTTTCTTTCTCCTCGGGCCCCCCCCCCTTTGTTTTTCGAGAAAGGGTTTCTCTGTATAGCTCTGGCTGTCCTGGAACTCACTCTGTAGACCAAGCTGTCCTAGAACTCACAGAGATTCGCCTGTCTCTGTGCCACCACTGCCCAGCATAAAAGACATTCTTAACATCAGTACACTCACTATATATAGTTCCCAGGAAGTTATTAAAGTGCCGTCTAAACAGAGGACTCAGCATTTTAACCTCCAGCTTAGCTGTTAACTGGGTCAGATCCCTTACATTTTAAAATGTTCAAATCTGAATTTAGCTTAAAGGAAAAATTCAACACTGACCTTCACACACAGAGGTCAACTGAACATGGGGAGACAATCAACCAACTTCCAAGGAAAGAACATTTTTGTGTTTCTTAAAATGAAAACTACCTGGTTTCTTGGGGTGTGATGCTGGAGTAGGGTGCATCTTAGCATCTCTGGAAAATCCATCTAAGTTTCCTTTTATGGCTTCCAAAGCGTCGTCTCTGTTCTTCTCTCCTGTCTGCAAGACAGCAAACCTGTGTTTAGTTCTTCCCTTGTCTGCCATGGTCTTCCATTCTCAAACTAACACACAGAGACCTGTTTCTGACATCCCTTTCCCCTTTTTTGTTTTTGAGACAAGGTTTTAGAGTTCATTGTGTAGCCCAGACTGGCCTCAAACCTGTGGCCATCCTCCTGGAACAGGAACGGCTTTAGTTCCAATATTCTCACTACGTACTTCTGATAATTTTTCAAGTCAGAAAGATATCATTAAGTATATAAAATAAAGTCATAAAAAGACATTCTACAGAATATAAAAACTTTAAAAAGTTCATTCTCAAATACTATTAAGACAGGGCTATGAGATATTAAACGTTCTGTGAGAAACCTGACAAATCCATTTCCTACCATCCTATTTATCATCAATGCTTCCCAAGACAAAGATGAGCAACATTGTCATGGTGGCTAAGAGAGAGAGAGAGAAAGAAGCTGGCGGTGGTAGCACAAGCCTTTTAATCCCAGTACTCGGGAGGCAGAGGCAGGTGGATCTCTGTGAGTTCAAGGCCAGCCTGGGCTACCAAGTGAGTTCCAGGAAAGGAGAGAGAGAGAGAGAGAGAGAGAGAGAGAGAGAGAGAGAGAGAGAGAGAGAGAGAGAGAGAGAGAGAGCGAGCTGAGAAGACAATGGCTAATATCTGTTTTCCCCAACAACAGCACATCTATCTGTACAGAAAAAGAAAAACCCTTCCCTTTAGGACCTAAGTAAACCATGATAGAAAGAAATCCATTGCAGCCTCAGCTGGTGCCTGAGTGAGAGGAGGAGGCATGTGCAGGGCATACATGCCTGCTGGTGCGGGGAGGGGGCAGCATGTATACATCACCTTGGGTTTCACGCTACTCAAAAGTCTGAGCTTTTGTTTCTGCTCCTCAAACTGACGTCTTTTCCTTTCTTCCTCTAAGAGTTTTTGTTGCTGTTCAAATCGTTTTCTAAAGGGAGAACAATCACATCAACATTCAGCTTCAAGTAGTAATAGTTACATTCAGGTTTTTACTATCAGCTTCAGCAATACCAACTTGCATTTCTAGAATTATAATCTTCACTCTTAATTATATGTACTTCTCTTATGACAATCTGTTTCTTCTGTATACTAGCTCTAAAATATTTTTTAAATGAATCTACAGAATGATTCACTTAATTTACATGTATGCTTTTATTTCTTACCTAATTTGCAAGGCAAAGAAAGTATCTTTTTTTTTTTTTTTTTTGGTGGTGGTGGGTAGTGGTGGTGGAGTTGAGTATTAAACCCAGGGCCTATGCATGCCAGACAGCACCCTACAGTTGAGATAGTTCCAAGTGTAAAGAGGGAAATCCACCTCTAGGTGGAGACATGCCCTTGTCTCCTCCCTTAAGGATTAACTCAATGGGGGCGCGGACAAGGACCTGGCTAGGAGACCACCCCAGGAAGGCAGGTTCACCCTAGGAAAGAGCCCTCAGTTGGTTATCTAACCCCAAATGGTCAGCCCTGAAATCATATACAAACAAGTAAAAGTATATGGGCTGAGGAGGTTGTACTTAAGAGGCCACAGATTTGAGAGGGGGCAGGGGAGGGGTACATGGGAGGACTTGAAGGGAGCAGAGAAAGGGGAGGGGGTATTTAATTTTAAACGATTTTTCAAATTATCAATTTAAAAAAGATAACATGCCTTTCCTTCCCGGAATTCCCTCCCCCTGGTGCAGTCCCTGTGAGGGACAATACCATTCAGTTCTACATATCAGCCATGGGTTCCCCTATTCTCCCCCC